TTCGTACAAAATTTTATCGTATCAAATTAGAAATGTTTCATTGAACGAATATTATATGGGTTATTTTTAAACCCTCTTTAACTTTAAAGTAGCTGTCTTAGATATGTTAAACGTCCCCAAATTTGATGGTGAAGTAGAGCTCCCACTGACAACTATTGTAAAAAAATTTAAAGCGTTTCCTTGTACCACTTGTGTGGTTACAGGAAACAGTAGGACACCGAGTTGGGGTCGTGCAATCTTAAAATGTAACGAACGTGTAAATTGTATGGTAGTGGAAATAGTCGCACACATATGCTAAATTTGTTGTAATAATAATAGAAATAATTTATTTTTAGTGAACTAAAGTTGTCAAGCTAGCAGGCGGTTCACTTCATGTTAACTTAATACCCCCATCTACGGCTTGCCGATTCTTTAAAAAAAGGTTAGTTGCATTAACAATTAAATTCACAGACTGTATAAAACCACAACATTTGAAAGGAGAAGAAAAGAAAAAATACTTGTTTTTGTTAATTAATACTAATCAATTATATTACTGTTGTGAAACCTTGATATTTTACCCTCTGCTTAACTATTAATTTAATTTTATGTTGCATAACTTCACTTTGTATGACTTTCGTTTCCGAATGAACTGAAGTAGAAAATGTAAGTCCAGTTTCACAGACTTCCCTTTAATCTGTATAGTTATCGTATAATTAAAAGTCGGTGCACTCCAAAACTTGTCAAATCCGACGCCTTTTCGTATCGAACTCTGTGTATTTTTTTATTCACAACTGTCCGTTTTTGTGCCCACTCCGTATGACTAAGCCGTGATATTAAAACGCTATTAGTCTAGATGAGCGAGCTATATATCATTCGAGGGCGGTGATTTTGTAAATGCGGACGGGAATCTCGATGCCTCGACTTTTTTTTAGCTCTTCGGTTTTTGCGGCCACGAAAACAATGTTGGGGCCCGCCATTAACAGATCAGAAGGATGTATCAATGCGAAATGAATTCGGCCCGCGACGTCTTATGATTGTTTATGTGAGAGCGGAACACGTCTCACGGTGCGACCGGACTGTCATAGACTTCCAGAATAGACCTCCCGACGAGTCGTTGCCTTCGGAATTCGAACAATAGTCAAATCAACTAGAGTGAGAACAAATCTGATCGTGTTTTTGTGCACGGATAGATTAGATTAGACAGGCGGAGTTGAGATCATTATTTATTATTCATCTGGGCAACTATATCGTATAGCGCTGTAGGAAAAAAGTAATGGATAATTTGAACGCGGAGGAAGAATACTAAGACATTTAATTATTCTAATAACCCGTCGCGCTCGAACACGGAATCTACGACGAGAAAACTCAGCCATGCGTGAAATAACAAACGGATTAACCAAAGATGACATCGTACATTTCCACGGTCCCATGGTCGAAGCGGAGGCGTCGTTATGGAATATAATACATAAACCTGCCCCGTCATACATAAATCATCGGCTCCCGTACATCAGAAGTGTTGAATTTGGCGTTGCCTTAACATTTCGGAGGGATGCCGGCTACTTATATAGTTGTCATCCCCATAAAACGACTGTAAGGGGCGGAAGGTTCTTTTTTCGAATCGATCTCTCGCTGGGAGGCGACCACACTGACTCGGACGTTTCAATGCCCGACCGCGCCTATCCGTAAACATAATAAAACTTAATATTTACGCTCACTCCGAGCAATAAAGATACAATGAGCAAGTACAGTAAAATGTTATCCGCTGCTCGATTTTCCGCCTTCGATCGATTGAATGTCGACCCTGTTACAGGCCGAGTAAGGTTGTTTTTCCAACCGTGTCGACGGTGGCCGCGAGTCGATTCTCGTTGTCCGTTTATAGAACTTATTTGTAAAGTTGCGTATTGTCTTAGAGGAGTGATATTTGCGTTTCGTAACAGCGGAGATAAGCCGAGGATGGGAAAGTGGGAACGTAGAGGAGCGATCGTCCGTGGCGGCGTTTTTTATCCCTGTTTACATTTGCCAGTGAGCTGTTTGTTGTATTTCTTGGTAGTTTAACGCAAATAGGGCCGGCAATTATTGCATCGATACAATCACCACGGAGGATCCGTGTGCAAACATAAAATTATATACTCAACACAAAGAATTATTTAAGGATATGAAAGCTGTGATCGATGTATAAAACGTCTGTGGTACAATACATTACATCTCTTATCGAGTAGGTACAAGAAATAAACCAAGAGAGTAATCCATAAATAGTTAAAACTATAATGTTTTAATTAAAATTTTTCCGCATTGATACAGTTCGTCGAGAAATGAAGAATGCTTATATAAGGGAGGATGATAGACTTAATTACACACTTACAATTTCCCAGGTTATGTACAGTTTCTCACAATTATGTAACAAACAACTTCTTAAACCAGTGGGTCACTTTAAGTGATATTTCCCTTTCAGTCCGTAAACTATCTACTTACTAGCTTTATCGAAAACGTTTGGGTGGGGCCATGCTATGCTTATGCGTGGTTTATTTAAACGGGATATTTCTTAGCAATCGAGGCTCGCTACGGAACATGGCTCTTGATGGCCATTGAATTATCAATCGGAGGCTGGGTGCGGTGATTCTCCATGGAACGCAGGCGTATTGTATTGGTCACGTGTATTAGCAATATGTGTGGATATAGTGTTGTCTAACGGGTTCAACGTACCTATGTCCTTCCTCACACTGGTTGATGAGGAGGTCGAGCGGGTGACGATTGAGAGAGTCATTTATATCTCACTGTGCAGTGAAGGCATATGTCATGAGGCCAATCTATGTTGAAATTACGAATAAAAATAAAAATCAAAGAGCTTTCCCGATTAAGAGAATGACATAATAGACTGAAAAAAACACCAGTGCGTTATACCGTATTCTCAAAGTAATGTACAATAAATACAATCATTAGAACAGTCTTATTGTTTTACGCCGTCAAATTTATCTGATTCCAAAGTTCTTGTGAGATTTGATCGGAATTAATACTAATTTGAAAAGCTTAAATAAAGTCCCTACGTCTGAGTATACACAGCAACAGTATTAACTTTCAAACATTTGACATTCCCCGTACATTGAATATAATTATAACAATAAATTGAGAACCCCAGAACACAATCGAAAATCATTAGGGCTCGAAAAGTTTACAGCTTTAGAAATTGTCGGTGCAGAACTTTAAAACACAATTGTTAATTATCGACGGAGTTTAATAGTGCGTGACAAAATTTGCACTCAACTTTTTCTGTCAACCTAAAAGGTGTCCTGTTGCTCTGAACTTAACATTTACATTTCAGCACAGCTAATTTACACCGTGTCTTTCAATGGCGAGCAGCCATAATGAGGCTTTTCACTTTCGCTAGTCGAAATTTTACACAGCTCTTTATTACAGACTTCTGTTCAGGGAGCTTTTACTGTGGACCAGATGTATATCCATTTACATCCTTATTACAATGACATACGATCCATGGTAAGTAATTGTACGGCTATAATAAAACGTAATACAATCCAGCTGTGGTAAGGCGTTCCACGCACATTTAAAGAACAATCTGGCCTAATTTACAGCTTTGAAAGATCCATAAAATCCTTACAAAATTTCTGTTTGCTATTTATATGGAACGGATACCTACGGTCAAAATGTTGCCCATTTTAAATAGTTTATATATTAGTATTACTATAATATTGTAGACTTTCATATAAAGATATACCTCATAGATATAGAAAATATAAGAATTTTTGGGGTATGGGGGGATAATCTTAATATTTAAATAAAAAAATTGTTGTTATTGCGCAGTAAGTATACATAAATAACTGAATATCCAAATTTCTGTGGGTCACATATGGCTAAGTGGGCTTGTACACCGAAGTTCAATTAAGCGAGACGCATCTTTTCTTTGACAGTTGTCAGCCATATGTGGCATAGGGCACGTGCTAGATTTTTTCGGTGAAACCACTTAAACCGCCATTAACAACTATGTTAAAAGACAAAAAATTAAGGATGCTTTAATTATAAATTTCGTTGAACAACTCAGTTTGCTACAATAAAGTTTTGTTCATAACGGGGCGCGATTTAATTGTTTATATATGTACATATGTATGCCTTAAAAAAGGCTCGATGTTGTTGTGAAACTTAATAATGATAATACCGTACATAAATGTATACCATTAAAGTTGATTTATTTTTAAAGTGGAAATTTTCGGCTCTGGCCTGCTACGAACAAAACCAGCATGTAGCTTTAGCACAGAAGGACCGCCCGCGTTGAAATCTTTACTATGAACCGAAATACATTATAGATACGTAGCGCGGGGTGTTACTAAAGGCAATAACATACCTTTATTCATTTGTTTGTATCATTGAAAATGTGTAATGAGAAAAAGTTACTTTCATCTATTTCTTATATTAGTGGTATAATTAATGGGATCAATTATGGAGATTGTGTTAAAAATAATTAAAAATAATAATCTTAAGTGAAAAAGACAATATTTTTTCATGAATGAATAACAATTAATCGTAGCTATAAATTTCAAACCCAAAAGATGAAATAATAAATAAGAAATAGCAATAACAATTATTTATATGTTTTTATCTTAAATTTACACGATCATTTAAGGTATACTTTATAACTTTAAGTAAATTTTTTTAACCAATTGTAATTTTTTTAAACAGTAACGCAGGTTGCGTTGTGAAATAAATATTTGTAAATGATGAAGTGTTAAATTAAAAATGAGTGACCACGGATTTCCTTCCGTACTTTTTTAATCTTCGTACATACGCCATATTTAAATTTTTATGTTTTCAAATGCAACTATTGGTATAAATTAGAATTATGTTATACGAAATTTAGTGTCAAACTTTTGTAAGTGGTTTAATACCTGGTCGTATCGTAGTATACCACCGATGGTATTCTACATTTCACAGACGCTGTCATCGGAAATTTATTTCCGGTAACAGGGATCATTCTGCGGTAATAAATTCAATACTTATTTCTGTAGACGCCGATGCATCGCACGAGGGATACGTCCGAGTGGCGAGCACGTGGTGGAGCGGTCGCCGCGCGCGCTGGAAGGCTGCTACGCCGCCATTGGCCGCCGCCGCCCCTCCCACCGACGCACGCGCACGCACTCCTAACGACCAGCTCTCGCTTGCGAGCGCTCAGCGAAATCTCGAGTCGATTCGGCGTCGATCTAGATAAGCTGATCGCTGTGCGATGGACAAGCGCGAATGACACGGCCGTGTGAAATCGAAAGAATTTCAACTTTGTCATAAAAATATATATACACGATCATAGCCACACAACACTTGAAAAATGAATTGTGTTATAATTTGTAGCGTAGATGCGGTATATACGTATAAATAACTCCAAGCCAAAGGAGATTTGCTTAGGTGTAATGAATGGTTGAAAAATATGATGGAAAAATTATGATAGCTGATTACTTTCAACAATTATTAAAATGATGTCGAATGCCTATCTTCTAGTGAACATATTTTTTTTTGCAATTTTACTTATTGAGCTATGATGATTATGTAAGCATGTTCTCAATTTATTCGCATATTTATGTGAAGTATAAATTAATTACATAAAACAGTAGCTAGAACTTAGTTTTTAGATTACAACGGGAATTTTCCCCTTAAAATTTCGTAAATGTGAAAAATATTTCATTATTTTATTCGTAGTTTTTTGATATACACATGATGGCTGAATTCCTGTTCGAAATTGTGATATTATGGGTTTCAAAGCAGAGGCTTAACATAAAGTAAACAGTATTCAATAGTAACACAAAGGCGACTCAATTACGAGGCGTCGTAAACCAATAACGTAGCATTATCTAGCGCGATACAGCCGAATTGCATAACGCCAACCTAATGACCCAAACACGACAAAGATTACACAAAAAAAAAAAACAGAAGTGTCAGACCAATCGGGCGGTGAGGCAGGTACGGCCTCCCACCATAGGCGACTCCGCCTCGGGAGCCGAGCCGCCCGCTTGTCAGACGTTACCGTGCTACGATCGACCGCGCTCATGTGAAGGCACGCGGGGTCCACCCATCGCAGAATGAAGTGTCTGTGGTTGTTTGTGCTCACTGTTCTGTGTATAAGGTGCGAAGCCGCCGGCAACAAGCCTCGGAGAGGACGCGGCAGCATGTGGTGGTAAGCGGTACTAGTTGTCATCTCTGTGTAGCGGTCCCTGGCATTTTGACTCTAGACCCCGTATGTTTAAAATCCGTTTTCGAATGGCCGCGCCAATTTCCGAAGTCCGATGCGACGCGTTATTCGAATGTTTTGCCGTAGAATTTGCGCTAATTGTACGAGCCGACGAGCTAATTGGGTTGAAACTAGTTAAGACAATCGACCTCTGTAAACTTTGATTGATCAAGCTATCAGTTGTTCTTGAAAAATGTAAAAGCGGTTTAAAGTTATAAAAATACGTAATTATAAGATGTTATTTTCATAACGATTTTTAAAAACGTAATAGTAAATCTTTACTAATGTTTCGGACTAAAGAACTGGATATCGGAAATGATACTCGAGTGACAAACGCAGCACATTAGTTCTAACGATTGCTTCATTCATTCTTCGCTTGCGTTTAAGTGCATGATGTGTTTATACTGCGCAACTTGTGCTTACAAAGTTCTGTAGAAACCAGATGTATTTATATATTTAGAAGTTTGGTTAATTAACAATAAACATATGCAGAATTTAATGTTGGTGCATCGGTAATGACAATAGAGAGTAAACACTGACCAGATTTCTAAATAACCTTAAAATATTATATTGTAAAGGTATAGTTACCTTGACATATTAGAGGTAAATTCTTTCATGTTCAAACTTGTCGAGCTGTTAACAATTAATTTTATAAACCGAAGGTTAATTAAAAATTAATTTCTAGTTAGTAGACGAAGAACGAAAGATAAAAAAATATATGCTATTTAGAAAAATTAAAAAAATTGAGAATACGTAATAAGTATTCAATAAACGTAATTTAATAAAATTAAGCTTAAATTGATATAAGTAATAGTACTAGGTATTTGCAAAATATATTTTGTAAGTCAATGTGATATAATATAATTTGTTGGGATTTTTATCCTACAGATCAAAATAATTTATGGATGAGTTTAACTTAATATTGTAAACTTAATGCTACTTTGGAGCATTGTAAACAAAGTCTCCTGGATGATGGACAGGAGCGTAAACTTCATATTTGCGCTTCCTATCACTTGGCTCCCGGTATGTGACCTGCCTAATCCCTATTTTAAAGAGTTTAAGATCGTTAAGAGCTGGTTCTTATTAAATATCGCTGAATAAATTCTGGATATTTCCCAAATTCATTTTAAAATGTTTTGCAGAAGAATTCAGTTTTTAAGAAAGTTTTTTTAAGAAAAAAATATTATTAATTACGGAGGCCCGCTTCGAATGTAAGAGTTTTAGAAGTTGAAAAGTTTTCACCAGCCAAATTTTGTTCCAATCTTATATTTTTGCTCACCTATAAATACATATAACTTGATGATTAACGATATGGCGTTAAAGTCAATATAATTTACTCGCAAATAAACGTGTTATCGTAATTAACGTCGGCGATAAACCATTGAAAGCTTATGTCTTAATGCGACATGACATCAGTAAAATATTACAGGAATATATTTCATTTATAACGAGACTTAATAAATTGTATGTCCTATGTCTTAACATGAGAAATATCATTGGTTCTATGACGTTTTGTCAAACTAGGCGACTGTAGACGTATACTTGCAAAAAGTGTTAACAAAAAACTTAACTGGCTAAAACTGACCAACGTAAAAAAAGGACGTTTAGCTTTATTAGATCTATTCACAATTGATATGGCAAAAACTGATCAGTGAACTTAATGCGTGTGGCCTATTTTTTTTAGACAAAGTCTCGTGAAGCTAATTTGTGTTCCAAACGTATAATAAGACTTATCTGTAAATATTTTTGTTCATTAAAATATTTACGTACACTTGTCAGTCCCGCGGCTAGGGCCACTATTTTATTTGCATTATCTTTAGTTTGAAAACAATGTATACACAACAGAAAGAAATATATTTTACGGGAAATAAAATAGTATCCAAGACAGAGATGGATTGATAACAAGTAATGTTGGTTGCCGTCGGCGGAACAAGAATGGTTTAACTTAAAGGACTAATATCGCAGAATGTATTGGTTTCAAGTTAAACCAAAAACCGGGCTGCAAACGAGTGTACAATATGTATAAATTAAACTTTTAACATCGTAATAGATCCATCACTTTCCGTTTCCGAAAATCTGTAACTTGTAAATTTATAGGTAATTAAAATTTTATTCGCGAGAACACAAATTAAAACCTATGTTTTATTCTAATGTTTTATTCTAATGAGTATAAGGTGTCTTAATTCAAACAGATTATATCAATATAATAAATCACCGACTTGCCAACTGCCTGTTATGTTTTCGTTAACAACTTACGTGAACAGTTTGGCGATCTCTACGGATCGTAATAAAATAGTACGAGTTAAAACGAAAGTGTTAAACCTCGTTTCCCCGTCGCACCGAAGATTAACGTAATATTTTTTCCGGCGCGCTTCTCCACTTGAATAAATATTTTATCTTTTCATACAGACGTAATAAATGTATATGCCGATAAATAAATATGTAATAAATGTAATGTATATGCCGAAAGTCGGGGGAGGTTTTTTTTCAACGCGGATTGTTGTTATGTGTTTATCTATCATTTAAAATATAATAACTGATAATAATCACTTTTAGTTTTAGGGTTCATTGAACGGTATTGGGTGTTTTGAATATAATTTTGTATTCGACAAGTTAAATTCATAAATATCGAACGAATACTTAAGTATTCGACAACGGTGTCACGACATACTTGACAGCTGAGACGCCTCATAATATATATATTGCCGTTGATTAGCTAACACGTAGATTTTATTAGTAATTTTTATAATTGATTTAGTACATTCAAATAACTCATTATATACCTTCACATAAACCAATTAAATCTGTTCACAATCCTACAAAATTATAAACACATGAAATCTAATGTCGAATGTAAAGAAAAAACTTTAAGTTGTCCGGCGGTATCGGAAATAATAAATAACGCCGTATCTAAATTATTTATAAGCCTCACTTACAGTTATCACTCAGTATCAAAGTGGCTCGTGCTGATTGCATAAAACAAATATATTTACACTTGAGCATACGATCAACTTTTGTGACCGTCGCTGAGTGTTTAGAAACAAAAGAAAACATTATAAGCTCCCACGCTCTTAGGGTTAGACAGGAATAGTCAATATACTCTAAATAGCAATATAAGTAGCATTTGCGCTAGAAAAAACACAACAATACCAAAATTTAAATTGTTTAATATTTAATTCTACATATTTTGTAGGCCATTCAAACCATAATAACAGTATTTACATCACATTCATAACAACAAATATAATTTTGCGTATTCCTTTTTTAAAAATAGCTCATGAAAAGCGTTCGGTGACAATGACGCGAGTCTCATGATTTTTATTCACCCAATGGAGATAGTTCTTCTGTATTAGTTTTAAGTCTGGGCCATTCAATCCAATGCTAAAGTATTCATCGAGTAAAGTTTTGGGACCACACAGGTCGTCAACATATATCACATTCCTGCTAACTTCTTACTTTTCATGTTATTTAATTGATTATAATCGAATGGTAAAATAGCCATTTATATTCATTTATACTCTAATGAATTCGTTATTACAAACTAGCTTTATATTTCCACTACGCGCTTTAGGACGTTTAAAAATTAAAACAAATTTTAGGCTAAATGAGATCTAGATACTATTCTTAATTAAATCTTTAATAAATAGCTTTTAAAATAATTACACTTCGCCTTTAGAAAACGTATAATTATACACAGTTATCCACGAGACTTTTTTATTTATACATTTAAATGTATTTACTTGAAAAGAATACAGAATATGACACAGAAACAAAAACACGTACATCGGATAATTAAGTAACTCTCTTCTCAATAAAAGGTGTTTCGTAATGACGTTTTTTATTTTTATTCAGCATCAATTAAGCAATTGAACGTTCAATTTGCCGCAAATATCAACCCTTTTTAAACAGTCAGGCCTGAGTTGTAATAAATCCTCTCGGATTTTAGTATCACGGCCAGAAAAAAAATTGCCACACCTCGACTAATTCGTATTCATCAGATGATGTCCATATTACATTACGTACGAAATCGCGTGCCGGCGTCACGATAGAATTGATAACGGAGTCCAAAGTAACTTGAGACCCGGCTGAGCGTCACATCGCGCAGTAGTCTTGAAACGTAAAAGCCGGAATCCGAGAGCCGGGGGTACAAGTAACCTGGCCCATACAGTCCGATATTTTGACGCCTCGTAAGATGGCAACAAATTAAATAATAAAGGGTTAATTTGTATGCGAAATGCGTACGGTGAGTCAAAGCAAACTTTTAAGGGGAAGTTAAATGCTATATGTTTATACTTCTATAAATAAATATCTAACAACTTATCTCGAGTGCAAACATGTTTATCGTTCACGGAACTTAAATAATTTTAAATAAACATTCAAGTCTTAGTTTTATGTGAATTATCTACATTGTATTGTATTGTACAAAATAGGCCCTTAGCTGCAAAATCAATAGGGTGTTAATATGGTGGTGTGTATTGCATTGGATTGATATTTGAGCATGTTTCTCTTGTCAATCATTAAAAATAGACATTGGAATAAATTTCTTATCTTAATTGCGAATGTCTGCTACATTTAAAAAAAATATATTGTATTTGAATAAAAAAGTGACAAGTCAACCAAATCTATCACTGATACGATTTCTTTATTTGTCGTTTATAAAGAATATACCGAAAAGACAATAAAATGGAACAATTAAAAAAATCGGCGGTAATACGTTAAAGTTGCATTAAAGATAAAACGGAAGTCTAAGCTTTAAAAACGCGCCCTTGCGTCGCGAAAGGCCTTAATGACCTGAATAGCCGTAAGCCTCCGCCAAAGACAATATTTGTTATTTTGACACATTCACACAGGCTTTATCTTAACGCAAACATCACGTTTACTTGTGAAAGCTATTCACGATTTTTTCCCGGGCATCTCGTGTCTCGTATTTGGTTTCCTACCAAAGTGACAAGTGTAAAGGATTTTACTTATCGACAGGCAAATATGGACACGTCTGGCTGTATCCCAGAAACAGACTAATGGTTCTTAATGAAGTAACTTACAATATTATTTATTACACATGATAGATGCTCGCTGTTCATTTATTTTTTTAATAGTCAATTAATTTTTTTGAAACGTATTATAAAATATTATATTAAATTTGCGAAATTTTAACAATTTAAAATTTTATTCCTACCCTAAATTAAGCAATAAAATAAAGCAATGTATTCATAGTTTTATGAGTGAAAAATTAATGATACATGTCTCTTAATGTAAATAAATAGTTTAGGAGGGAAGACTGCCTATTAAAACAGTGCCTTTTCGAGAGTGTACACTGAGCCGTATCATGGCTTTGAATAGCGGCATCAAGCCTCTAAACTGGCGCAGCGTCCCCGTGAATTCTCGAAGGAAATGAGAGTTTCCGACGGGCGTGTTCATATTTACGTTACACTCGACTACAAAGAAGGGCAAATAGAAAAGTAATACGATTTCCAGAGCGATGCGGCCCCGCGCCGCGCGTGAGCTCACGTAGTTTTTTAAGCCCTACGCTACCATCATGACACTCGATCGCCTAATGCGTTCGTTGGGCATTCGATGAGCGCTTACATCGATAGTCCCCCTAGCGTTGGATTGGAGACGGCGCTCAAAGAGCCGTGAATGTACGACGCCTTTGTCCGATCCACCGCCGATATAGATACGGGGTATTCAGGCGTGCTATGTGCAGCCGACGTTAACAGGGCCGCGATGTCGATCGCTCTTGGCCTATGTTTACCCGCTCGGCCCTCGACGATTAATGCGCGACGCAAATATTTATCTAAACGTCTGCGGATTGACGTTTCGGTCGTCAATTGTTTGTTGTCTTTGCCTTCTCAAATGAGCATTTCATTTCGAGTTGCACCCATTGCCTTAAGTGGCGTTCGGGCTCGGTTTGTTTTGTTATTTTTTTTTCTACAGTTCTCAGAGCGTCGCCCGTTTTTGGGTGACGTTCCCGGCATTGTCTTTCGTAGTGGTGACAAAAGGCGATCTTGACGACTGTTAACTAAGTCACGTCGACGCGTCAAGTTGACGTTTTAGAGCAGTGTAGACACACGACGTTAGGATATCTCAACTTTTTGCGAGTATCTGTACGCAGCATCAATAATGACTTTCTATTTATGCCACTAATAATGTATACGTATAAAAACCAACTATCGAAAAAATCGCATACACAAACAGACTTGCTAAATGTTTGCTAATGAGTATTACTCAGGAATGTTAAGAATTAAAAGGAACTTAGAACATACATTTAAAGTCACATTTTAAGTATGTATATACATTAAAACGCCAATCCAACGATTCGGTTTACAGGCTAACGTGAAGTTAATTTTGACAGGGGAATAGCGAAGGCGGGCGAGCCTAATAACATTGCACCGATGTCACCTGGAGTTCTGTACATGGACGCGGGGGTGCATTCCACCCTGAGGCGGAAACAGCGGCGGCTCGCCAGGGAGAACCCGGGCGTGCTGACGGCCGTCGCCAAGGGCGCCAACATGGCGGTCACAGAGTGCCAGCACCAGTTCAAGTACAGGAGGTGGAACTGCACCACGAGGAACTTCCTGCGCGGGAAGAATCTGTTCGGCAAAATCGTCGACAGGGGTGAGTGTCCAAACGAGCGCTGCAGTGTGTCCGCAGCTTTATTCGATATTGATATCATCTGTCGATTCAAGATTTATCACAGTATTCTACGTTTACGAATGCAACGGCCCAAGCGGACCGTACGATAAGCATAATGGAAACCGAATATTAAAATTTATTTATTAGAAGCTTAATTAGGGCCTCCACATTGATTTAGGCTGACAATTTAATACCTGGGTCACGTTTATCGCTCCGATAATACATTTAAATAAGCGGACAATAATAAAAAAAAACGCTCAGCGTTTAAATTGCGAATTTAAGAACACGCGTCGTCCGTTTGTCCCGATTTTATTATAGCGAAACAAAGCTAACAAAGCAACAAAAAGAAACATAAGAAGATAAGCTCAAAGCCCCACGCGAAATATTAAAGAAACAGATTACGTCTTTAGTACTTCAGTTATAATCTTTAAAAAATGAAATCGATAACTTGTCACCAGATCCGAAATTCGTACCCCGTAAAAAAGTAAACGGCAACAGCGGTGATGTTTTTTTATTATCCCGCTTTACAACAAGTCCCCTAATCCCAGTTACAAAGAGTAGCTACAAATTAAGTGATATCTTTAGTTGGCAACCCTTTTAAAAGATTTTATCTGTATTCAACGGGAGGGTAGCGCGTCGGGGGCACATATAAAGGGCTCATCAAGATAAAACATCCCGGATCAATTACATGCGACCGAGTGACGTCCGGATTCCCGTTTATCGATGTCGCTTTTTATTTGAATTTCGAATGTGTTTCTTCTTTCTTTTTTTTTATGGGCTATGAGATTTCTAAACTTCGCCGTGCTTCAAATTTTACACGAAACAATTGGGCACTAATTTGTATATATTGTATCGTTATAAAGAAATTTAATCAAAATATAGGTACTTGGGGTAAGAACAGAAACATTATCGGTATTTTTTGCCAGTTTTCTTTTTCTTCATAATGGACCCGGAATGTTTTTGCGAAATTCCAGACAACGCAGACTAAGCGATAAGCGTGAGATCCAGATCTTAATTCTTATCAATTCCGCTTCGATAGTTCGAAGAGAAAAACTCGAAACATGTTTCATCCTATTAACACCGGTTCACAATTGCGCCATCGTCGATACCATTGGGCTCGTTTCAATAGCGTTAGATGTTATCTACAGATACAAATCAGCAGAGATCCCCATTAGTTGCACAATGAAGGTTAGACTACAAAATCGAATACGCTGTCGCTCCGATAGAATAGTATGGTACGTTTGTACATTATTCGTCATCCGTATATCCAACAACGTCGAAGTTTCGGAATATAATAAGAAAGGCGAGATTAATTCATAAAGCACTCTCGAAAATTAAAATGTTCACAGCAGCCCATTTGGCGTTTTAGCTCTGGTGAAAACGATCCGTAGCGCTTATGCGGTTGGATTAAGATTCAGAGTTGCTGTTAATGGGTGTTTTGGCGACGGTGGCGTTATGTAGCCGCTCGGGCCGGGCCTGCCCTATCTCCGGTGTCCGATTTCGATGCTTTGTACGCGATACACCTTATTATGGTCTCGCGAACATCTGGTTTTGTGCATCGCGTTTTATCCACAATTATTACGGCAAAAAGACCAATTCGGCTGTAAGGTTGAATCTCATTTTTGAGGACGAATTAAAGATCTCCTTGATTACTTCTCTGTGAAACGAAATAATTTAGGATTGATTTATTACAAAAATTGTATATTATTAAATAATAGTTGAATCACGACGGCCAAAACCGACTTAAACGTTATATGGGCTTGACATAAAACGTTGAAAGCATATAAAATTCATACACTTAAAAAGCAAACCTAAATTACCTTGTTTGACCTACTCCTTTAAAACAATAAAACCAATTGACAGAAATAGTTCAGATACGTTTCCGTTCGGACCGATAAAGAGTGAAACGCTAAAAGGCGTTCCGAAAAGCGGGGTTCAGCTAGCATTAGGGGGTTATCTTCGAAATTAAGAGCACCCGCTCCCGTATCTCGGCCTAATTCGATCTCATTTCGAATTCGGTACGCACGATATCAGTACGGGATGGGTTCGTACCGGCGTACCATCCGCTCCGGTTATTGACCCAAGCTTCTTACGTTAATGACATGCGCAAACGCTTTGGGCAAACGATGTTTCTATTAACCAAAGCACTCTCAAATGTCCCACCGCACCTATTCTATGGTACAGATATCGATTCACCAATGTCAGTACCCTTTGTATTCTCGAACGAACTTATTCATGATACGTATTTAAGGAGAGCTGAACTAACCAATACTGAATAAAATCGTGTAAGAAGAGTATTCCTATGAACTTTTTAACTTAGTTTAATTACTAACGGAATGTATAAAATATTAAACAGGTTTATGTGTATTTGTTTTAATAAAATAGATTCAATATCTTATTGCAATGGTCAAAACATATAGTTTTACTGTAGAATATATCATAAAATAGATTTATGTTGAGGCCCATAAATCTATTCTACGATATATTACAGACAAAAAGGTAAACAGTTTTACTATAGAATATATTGTAGAATAGATTTATGGGTAAACAGCCATAAATCTATTCTACGGTTTTAATTCTACAGATAAAAGTATAACTAATATCAGGTTAAACGTATTTACGCCGTGTAATACTTTGAAAAAGAATGTGTGTCAACATTTGCCGTCGGCCAGAGCGAACCTGTTAGATGCAAGAATGAGTGAGATGAGAAAATTATCGTAGCGCAATGGATTTAAACAAGCTCTAGACTTATTCGGGTAAAATAACACAAAGCTTCTATAAGAAAGAATAATAGCAATAATATATTATTCAATGATCTAAGGTCCATTAATAATATACTTTGTAATCGATCTCGAAAAGAAAGCACCATGCCCCCGAAGCGAATAATTACAAGTAGAACCGTAAGTAAAGCGATAGCGCCTAGAGGTAAATGTGGAAGTCGTAACTCGATTCGAGCGGTAAATGACTATAAAAGTCGGCTAACAATTTTTCCAAATTGAAATCCACGCACGCATTGAGACGTTGGACCACCGACGCAATCGTTTCGATTGATAAAAAGAGCAAGAGGCCTCGAGATATTTATGCTGTACGCTGATGCATTTAGAGCATATTGCTTTATTAAGGGCGAGCGGGGCGGGCGGATGGGGCGAATAACGGCCGGGAATACGGCCGATGAACATTCTTTATATGATGATTAGCGACCCGCCCCGGCTTTACACGGGTGCAATGTATTATACATGTAAACCTTCCTCTTGAATCACTCTATCTAGTAAAAAAAAAACGCATCAGGATCCGTTGCGTTGTTTAAAAGATCTAAGCATACATATGGACAGACAGACAGCGGGACGACTTTGTTTTATACTATGTAGTGATATTGCGGCCGCCCGTGTATCACATAATAAAGGACACGCGAACGCGGCGGGGGCGCGTCGAAACGCTACTAATTTCCTTAAAAAAGGCCGTATATATTCCACGGGAACGGGACCGGACCTCCGCAAGCATCGCCCAAAGACCCCCTGGAACCGGGCTCGCAGAATCGCTAATGCGCACGTCGACACGCCATCGTCGACGTCTCCAACGGCATTGTTGTAAACCTCAAGGATCGTATTAACACCGGCGATGACAACGGCACAATGACATCCCCCACACAACGGGTCATTGTTGACCCGAGAATAGGAATAGGTTCTGATGCCTGCTGCGAGGCCCCCCGTTGGGCAGTTTAGCGATGCGACATTAAGCGTACACGGAAGCTCCGTTCACTATCGCCCCCGATCGCAGGTAACTGGGCCGATGAAGCAGATTTTTACCAGTTCCGATATTTCCCGTATGGAAGGTTCCACATCCTCTGCAGACGCAAGCAGAGATCGAAATGACGCGAACGCAAATCGCCTCCGACGATTAATATGCGAATGTAAATAAGTATTTACGTACGCCTGAATTACTTTTGCGATTTTATATCCGCTGACGATTTGTGAACCCTTCTTGGTGCGATTTCGTTACGACAAAGTAAATGAGGCACAAGCAGAATGCATTTCTCAGCCAATATGGTTCGAAGTTGCCGATTTTATTCCGATCCGAGATAGCTCACTTAAGGCGCAATTATGCACGGTGCCTTTTTCTGTTAGTTTGAAAACAAATGTCTTTGTGCGTCGCATGAATGGACTTCGGAGTGGTAGGTGGTAGCGAGTGGTAGCCGCTTTGTGCCGCTCACAATGAGTGATATACGAGCGACGTAATTTTGAATTGTCACTGGAATGGCACCTTCTCCGGATTCAATGTTAAATTATCACCCATACATAGCATAACGAAAATGAATTACGGCACTTTATTACGTCTATTCACGGCGTTCCTTCACATTAAAATATTGCCTTCGCGCATTGAACAGTAAAAGAAAACAAAACCTGGCACTTCGATCGTTCGCGTAAAAGCGAGACATTCCTACATTTTTTTCTTCTCCGCGGTCTTTTTAACACACAATCAAAATGATATTCATCTCGCAGTCGATAGAGAGTCATTAAATTATCGTAAATAAAATTTAAATGCAAACAACGGATGGCAAATAATGGCCTCATCGGGTCTGATGAGGCGTCCGCGGAATGGTCGAAAGCAGCCGAACGGGTGATTTATGGATGTTTTGAGTAATCGCGTCTCATCAAATTTGAATAACGCCGGTCGCCGTAAATAATAAAGGCGCGGGGCCGTCATGAGTCAATCGTACATATTTTTTTTATAAACGCGAAAGCTTGTGTGTGTGTTCCTTCCCCGTTCGCGTTGCGACGGCTGAACGGATTTTGATGCAATTTGCAAAGGAATGTCCATTGCAAAATTCTTGTAAAATCATCACGCCGTTTGAGTCGCAGTTGAAGCTAGTAGCGTTGAATCAATGACAGTGGAACGCCCAGGCTCGAATTATTGAAGTAAACGGGAACATATCTAATTTGCGCATTTATTTTTGCACCACCCGTGGTCGCAGGCGCTCGTCAATTGTCAACAGTGATTAAGTAAGCAGGACGCGCGAGTGGACGTGTACGGTTTTACGAGTTTACGAGCTTTTATAAATCCTCGACGCCCCTACTTAACTGCCAATCCAGCTGGACGGAATTATCGCTCGATGCTCGCGCTGTAAACGCACACCGGGGCCGTTTATCATCCGCGCGGATAGTCCACCGACGGCGCTTTATTATCAGTTATAATAATAATTTACTTTTATCGATTCTCATTACTCATATTTGTTCTTATTCGGCGCGGTGGAGTTGGGCCCGGTGGACTGGTGCACCGAAACGGGCACTCCGATATCTGTGCACGGCTTTTTGGAGCCTCGTGTTTTGCATCGTGCTGCCGGCTAATTGCGAGCGTGCGCGCACACCGTTTTTATTTAATTCCCTGATTAATGAGCGGCGACCGATGTTGGCTCCTTGCATCTGTCATAATTTTTCTACGTCGCGATTTATCCGGGACGCGCGACAAACGGGCTTTGTTGCGCGGGCGAATCGATTGCGCACCTCGGCGGCGAAATAAATCGCTGAATTATTTATGGTGGCGATGATTTGTTTTTATTTAATAATCGTATTAGACGCGGACGCGGGCGGGACGAGATAATAACAATAATAAATTTTATTTAAGCAACCAACACAAAATAAAAAGGAAATTATGGAAATGACATTTATAAAATTGTCAGAAATAAATCCCAACAAGAATTATGGGACAAAGTTTTATTAGTAAACCATGTGGGACGGGTAAAATGGTGGTAATAAATTGAAAGTATCACACATCATCGTTACAATTCAATCATTACATCGGAAATTAATGAACGGCGTCATAAAGTATCCCAATAAATTAATGTACAGTTTCTCATTGCTACAACTAGAACACTTATTTATATACACATAGCGACATATATGGGAGATTTTAATGTCATTATACCCGTTTCGTAGTTCGTAATTGGTTGGCCCCGATTTCATTTCCTCTCGTGTGCGATAAGTATTGTCATACATATCGTGTCCGTTCAACAAGAACCGCCGACGCAACTAGTCAGTTCAGAATGGACCATCGACAGATGTGTCGCAAGTTGCGACACTATTACGATCCTGTCCGAGCAGCTACAACTTTCGTACGTCCGTTAAGACGTCAACGGCAAATAGGATTAGCCGAAAGCTATTATTTTACGAGCATAATTTACGCGTGCCACATTTAATTGGCGCGCGTCTATTTGTTACGGTTAATGCGAGAGAACGTTACCAAGTCATTACGGAAGACGGATGCCCGACTCGGCGGCCATTTGGATGCGCGCGCACATATCCCTGTCGCGAATTAATTCCGTCCGAACATTGAATGATGGCGGAATTGACGTTAAAACCCCCGCTCGAACATCTCAAGTAATTGCTGAATAAAATAACTTTTGTGTAACGTCCCAAATGGAAGCACAAAAAGCGGCCCCGTTGCGGGCCGCGGCGGTTTGCGCCCGACATTATTTATATCGGTGCACGATGACAACTCAATAAAAAAATGATTTCATTTGCTTATTGAGCCCTTAATAACGCTCGCTCGGGCTACACGTTTCGCTCTGCTCTTACTAAATCTTATTGTTATACCGTATACGTTTTTATGTATTACAATACTACATCATATTAATATAGCTTAATATGATATATACCTACTTTTTTTGCATCTCCATTATAACGGCTTAGCGTAGATGTCTCTCACTAATGGACCACCTAAGACGATGTATTAAAAAAAAAAAAACCAGCCAGCTGCAATAAAGACTTCAATATATTTTTGTAACCTTGAAATCAATTAACAAGCTTTTAGTTATCACGATAATTAGATCGGGTTATTAATTTGCATAATATTTAAAAATAACAACTAAACATGAGAGACTTTATAAAGTCGATTGTACGCTTAGCGACCCTTCATAAAATGCGATTTACTACTCGATGCGTCATGATGACAAAGTCTCTGTCCTTAATACAACATCATTATAACATTACATCCCGATGCTCCGTAGACAAAGGCCATGAATATCGATATTAATCGTTAAAAAGTACGCAGGCTATTAAATCGATATTAAGAGAGGGAATGCGATGCGCCGTACCACTTGTAATGATCAAATTTATAATCTCTCGTGTAGGTAAGCACTTCTTTATTTTCAATCGCCGAGATATACCCTCTCTCTTTTAATTGTATTTTATGAGTATTTGATTCTAATGCCGGGCCATTAATTATTTATAGTATTCGATTATGTGCACGTTGGCAGACGAATGGACGATCCCAAGATCGAATCGTCATTGTTGTGTGAATTGACTCGACAATGTCCGCGATGTTGTATGTAACTTATTCCAAAATGTCAAAACACGTATTCCGTTCGAATCGCTGTGCTCTTTTTTTTTTCTTTGTCCAATCTCGAAACGAACATTAAAAATAAACGAGCGAAATATTGAAAAGGAAAACAGTCTGCTAAATACGAACCCGGTGCACGTAAGGGTCGGTTAGCGCACCCATTGCAATTTGCTGATGAGATCGCCGATGTTTTGAATTTAGAGAATCCGATACCTACCAAGTTAACGATACGAGATTTTTTTTTGCTCCCGCACCCCGAGCAATAATAAAGCTTGATTAAAATATGGGGCCCTCTCGTGTTGGGATGAATTCATTATGTGAATACCAAACGTGCCTATGTGAAAAATGCAATAAACCATGCGTTCTTATTATCAAAACAACAATATTAAGGTAGGTTGCCCGGTGATACGCCCACACGTGCATTCTCCAATTCGCTTTTAACGAAATTTACATGAAGTTCTCGAGCAATTAAAATTTTATTGAGTCATATCGATGCCTCTACCGTTCATTTAAAGAGTGGTATTTTATGCGTGTATATATTATCATTCGAAAAAGGCGTGATATTTTTAATTTGTTTACAATATGTGAGGGAAACTGACTGACTGATTGATTTATAAACGGCACCTACACTGCATATATAATATGGTAGCTAATATAGTTTAACGCCTCCAGTAGATTTAAAAAAATCGTATTATCTATATGTTCAATAGGGAAGGAAGGATTGTAAGGAATTTCCCAAAAGCTTTCCAAGCACACGGGCATTTCACAATCATTTAAAACACATAAAAAGTCATAGAATAGAATCATCTATCGTCGTATATTTAATCAATTTCAATCGTACACCCCACCGACAACACAATGAAATCTATGCAAAGCCCCCTAACAACAGCGTCGTATATTTAATCAATTTCGATCATACGCTCCGCCAACAACAAAATGGAAACTGTGCAAGGCCCCCTAACAACAGCTCAACTTTGTCGTCGCAGGGTGCCGCGAGACCGCGTTCATTTACGCCATCACGAGCGCCGGCGTGACGCACGCGGTGTCGCGCGCGTGCGCCGAGGGCTCCATAGAGTCGTGCACCTGCGACTACTCCCACCTGGACCGCACGCCGCACCGCACCCGCGCTGCCACCGCCGCCAACGTGAGGGTGTGGAAGTGGGGCGGCTGCAGCGACAACATCGCCTTCGGGTTCCGCTTCAGCCGCGAGTTCGTCGACACCGGCGAGCGCGGCAAGACCCTCAGGGAGAAGATGAACCTGCACAACAACGAGGCGGGCAGAGCGGTGAGCGAAGATATAACCGAATCCCCCGTAAGCGGTCCGGTGCACCCGCGAAAGTGGCCCGACGACAAATCCGGTCCGACCTCCATTGCGCGGCGGCCGAGGCGCGCGTGCGACAAAAAGCCGACGCAATCAGCGGGTAAAAGTTTGTGAGTGACGATTGGATGCCAGCGGACAATTCCTGTCCAATCGCTACTTGAACGGGCGCCGTTTATAAACATCCATAAGACAATCGCACTCGAGCGCTGTCGCGGCACGTCGCCGCGCCGTGTTCACATTACCATTACGGGTGACGATCGATTGTCAGCCGCTTGACATGTCGCTTATGTCTAAAATTAATTATGCGCCGGGCGGCTCGGCCCATCGCGTGGCGACGTGCATCGGGCACCCATTCGTTGCGCTCGCGCATCTCCCTCCCACCGCACACCCACATTTGCATACCCACTGTCCGCTCTTGCCTAAAACCCATCAGAAAGGGTCGCCGGGCGCCTTGAGCCACCCAGGCGCGTCATTAACCGGCGCGCTCAATTCCCGTCACGACGGACGCTCTGGGTGTCCCGCGCGATGAATATTCACAACATTCCGTCGATTGTTCAACACATATTTGGACACTAGAACGCGCGCCGCGGCCTATCTACATGTAAATGAATAAATATCGTCCGTCTTCAACGAAGCGCCTGCGCCTTGGCCCTTGTAAAATATTTACAGTCTCCATCCCCGCGTCATTTATCTACCTTCTGAGAATGATGAATGTCCCTAGAGTATGATTTATGGTCTGTCCCCGCGCGGTGACGACTGGCCCACCACCCCACGATTTGTAACAATTTGCTCGATCGTGAGATGCGATCGATGGAGTGCGCTTAATAGATCATCGATCACCCGTAGACTGTTATCGAAGGCATTCATAGAAATTGGGACGTCATTACGGGCCTCCACACGCGTCCGTCAGAGTTGCGTTTCCGTAGTTTTTGTTTTATTAAATCCAGCCCTTTGCCCACAGCACGTCCAATCGGAGATGCGTCAAGACTGCAAGTGCCACGGTATGTCGGGGTCGTGCACGGTCAAGACTTGCTGGATGCGGCTGCCAAGCTTCCGCTCCGTGGGTGACGCGCTGAAGGACCGGTTCGACGGCGCGTCGCGGGTGCTGATGAGCAACGCGGACGCGGAAACTCCCACGCAGCGGAACGACGCGTCATCCCACAGGGCGCCGCGCAGGGACCGCTACAGGTTCCAGCTGAGGCCGTACAACCCCGACCACAAAGCGCCCGGGGCGAAGGACCTCGTCTACCTGGAGTCGTCGCCCGGCTTCTGCGAGAAGAACCCGCGGCTGGGCATCCCGGGCACGCACGGGCGGGCGTGCAACGACACCAGCATCGGCGTCGACGGCTGCGACCTGATGTGCTGCGGGCGTGGCTACAAGACCGAGACAAAGTTCGTGGTGGAGCGATGCAACTGCACCTTCCATTGGTGCTGCGAGGTCAAGTGTAAAACTTGCCGCACGGAGAAAGTGGTACACACGTGTTTATAGACGGTGGGACGCTAATGGTGTGCACGCGTGTGATCCGCAAAACGGACTTACGCCGGACGATTGTGACTCGGACGTCAGTTGGCCCTTACGTAAATAAGCTGATAACGAAAGAAAAGACCGTTGTACATAATCGCGTCACTTTTTCCTCCTCCGGAGACTTATGTAAATATTTTTTTCTGTTTTGCTATTGATTACTTTCTATACACTCGTAATTTATCCGACACTGTATTAATTTGAACGGTTGCCCGTTTGGTTCATTTATTGGGCCATTAAGTGCGAACATGTGATCTAGGCAGGTTACTTTTGTGGACACTGCCGTTGGGACACTAATGAGACCAGTTTTACGACGATTTATTTCTGTCAGAACTGTCGACACTCATTTAGGAACCGAAATTGGGCTTATTGGTTTCCCGGCGCGGTTGGTAAGTGTACAAATTATTTATTATGGTTAACGTATGTACGTACTCACATGATCCACTAGACGATCGAAGATAACGAGTCGAGTAGATGTGAATAATGTGGACTACTTTAACTGATATTTCTTAATATCATTTCAAAGTTCAAACTTTAATAACAATGAAGTTTTAGGCCGTTATATTACACTAGTAATAACAATATTAATATCGGTTTTGTAATTTACAAAATACAATCAGTTTTATCGAAGCATGTGTCGGGTGCTCGTTCGCAATAACTGTTTTGAGGCACGGGAGTGAAATTATCTTGTAATTATAATTTTATATTAATTATTCGCAAAATTAATGGAAACTGCGACTTAACTTCATTTGCATAAAGTGACTTCTTGGGTGATCCCGCACCGAGGCTACGCTGGGCTCTTATCGGTCAGCAAGTAGCGCCATCGTAAAAGTGTCCCACATTATGAGATAAACGCTCTCGAGAATTTTAATTAAATATTAAACGAATTAAATAATCAGTATTATACATATAATATTGTATGCGTGTCGCATCCGACGTATCAAGATAAAATTGAACGCGCACAGGGTTAACAATTCCTAAAAGTTTTATACAACCTCGCTCGTATTAACCGTTAAATTATCCGTTATGTAAAGAAAAGCATGTTAATAAATTTGTGTTATACATAACTCGTATATATTAGTTTGTACTGCAAACTGTTGACTACCATCGTTGTTCGAAAAGATGGAATTTCGTCGTTAACTCATGTTTCTCTCTTCGCTATGAGAAATAATGACAAATTCGAGGAATTGCATTATTTAACATAACAATACAATAGTGACATCCCTTGTCGACAGTTTGCGAAAGAAGCTTTATTAATTATTATTAATGTATATCGAGAATGATATTTAAAATGTGATATATAAATAGGTTAGGAAACTACTGTGTGGTAGATATTATTGTCCTATTGAGCTTAATTATGTATGATATATATCTAATACTAATCTAATTACCTGCTTATTTTAATAAGATATTTATTTTAAATTGTTTTTAAATTAATTATACACATTTTACTCTAATTGAGTTTTAGAGTAAAAGTTTGGTTTTAATAATGAAAAAGCTCGATATGAGCATATCGGCGAATTACTTATTATATTTTGTGTCTTTTATTAATGAAAGGCATCTTTTAAAAATATTTCTAATCGAATAACTTGTAAATAGACATTTTGTTTTAAATCGATTGTGTTGAATTGTGACGCAGTCTACGTTCTAAAGTATTGTATCGCGTTGGAGTCAAAAGACTGAAGTGCTCTTTAATCGTAGATATAATATCCATGACTGGATCGATGAAGCCATGATTTCGTTTACTGAAACGGAAGCTTATGTGATAGAGAAAAGTATTTTAAACTATTTTAAACGTTTTTTTTTCGTCTTTCGTCGATTTAATACAATTTCTGTGCCATTTCGTAATCAATTCGTAGAGGAACTTTTTTTTATCCCTGACAGTGTTTTAACTTTATACCTTGCCCTTAATGTATTGCCATGGGAAATCTAATTTAATTGCATGTAAATATTGTGTTTAATTCAATCATTTTTTTAAGTTATTTATGTGAATTTAGTGTTTTAATCATTATTCTTAGGTAAACGATACAATTGAAAATCAGCTGAACCTACCTGAATCTCAAGCCCTATTGTTTGTATAGTGAAAGTATAATTAACAATTTCTTTTAAATTATATTTCGTCCAGTGACCGCTTTGGGGGTTGACGCATTATTGTAATGAATATTGGTTGTACATTAGCAGTATCTATTTATGATTAAAATATTGATTAGTTGTTACTAAAAATACAAAATGGATCAAAACTTATGTTGTTTCATTTTATTCATTTAGTAATTCAATATCGAATTTGTTGTGTTGTCTTATCATCATGTATTTATGTATGTATATTTTTGGTAAGCAAAATATAAATATAGATATTACTATAACGCAGTAGCATCACCTTACAATAAATCGTTCTATCGACAAATTTCCCTTAAATAAACTTAGTAACTTGGGCCGTAGAATCGATTCATCCAGCTATTATTCTACGGCATCTAGTGGTCACGCTTTTGCGTGCAATTTATTCAAATTAAATTCATTCATTTCACAAAATAATTTTATACAATATATTTATGAGTGTAGCAAACAATTTTTTTTTATGTGAAAAGTTGACGAACGAGCATACGGTTCACTTGATGTTAAGTGAATACCGCCGCCTATGGACATCTGCTACACCCGAGGGTTTGCAGATGCGTTGACAACCTTTTTGGAAATTGGGCTCCGGCTACCTCATTCATCAGACGAAACGCGAAAGTATTATACTTCCACTATACGCCGGTCTTTTATGAGGTCGTGGTACTTACCCGGACGAGCCTGCCCATTCGTGCAACAGCCAAGGCTGCTGCGTGGCCCTACCGCCGTAAACGACAAATATGAAAATCATGATTAATATTAACATAGACCCAATAAAGAGAACTTTCTGACAATGCACCAAAAACGTCATCGGCAGTGATGATCGGCCATCACCAGATGTTTAGGTAATCCCTCATTTATCATCCTCTATCGATTTGCGTTGTCGTTTAAAAACTGTATTACAAAAGTTCATTACATAGCCTCAATAAAAGTTGTTTACAATTTCTTTATTTTACACCTTATTTAAACCTATCTTAAACTTACCGGAACTCACATGTATCGAACACAAGTACTCGTTACATATCAGCCATAAGTACTTCTCGTATTCAGCAGGATGATGTTGCCTGAGGAAGTTTACGCTGCGAAGATTACCGGCTATAGATGCCACTGACATTCCCTTATTACGCGGTATTCGGCCTATTTGATAAACTGGTTTTACTATTCGGCCAGACGAAGAGACATAGCAGACTACTAATGTGCATATTTCATTAGATCTGTAACTATATATTAAAGCGCAAGTGAAGTGAAAATCATATGTAAAAAGCCAACTAATGAGCGAACAGAATGTTAATTCAATTCTTTTTAATCTACACAGTCAAAGACCATCGTTGTCACATACATGTTCATAACACCGAACCTCGATGGCACGTAGGAGGCATTCTTCCCCATAGATAACGCACGCATGTGCACATGCGCGGCCATACCAAACACAGAGGGTCGTATCAAGCTATCTCACGAGTCATGCGTTCAATGAACAAAAACAGTAGAATATATAATATATCGCCGAGTGCAAGCAAAAACATCAGTCAATGTAAAGTTTTCATCAGGTGGTGTCAATTTTTATTTTACTTGTGCTACCCTAACGTTCGAATAGCGAAGAATTCCTTCATACCATAACCACACTCATATGTAAGGTATGATATTTAAATTCAAAACAATGAAAATAAACAACATTACGAAACCTAAATCGTGTTATATACACTTAGAGAAGCAGGCATTTCGTGAATGTTTAGTAATTCATGATAAATTCTGTCACGTATTCAGAAGAAAAGTATCTATGTATGTCGGCCATACACCATGATCAACAATAATCCTGTTAACTTTAACCATTTTTCTTTAACTTCTCTGTGAAATAACTTACCCAGATTCCGAAATATAACAATATTCTCCGTTTTAATAAAGTCGTCGTATTTACAATAACTCAAATACACTTGCATCGTAAACATATATATCAGACAAATTAGTGTATATTCTTTATGACAGCGCAACGTATTTAAACTGTTACGTTTCTGATGACTTAACAATTAAATTTGTGGGTATGAGGTAGAAGTTGTGAAGGGCGAAATAAATCATTCAACCTGCATATAAATTGTCATCTTCTGTCGCCTTCATTAATAATAATTTTAATGCATAACGGAGGAAAGTTTATACAGTGTATACAAAGTAGTTAAAAAAACTCGCCCATCTCAGCTACCCGATGACGTTTTTATTTCGAAATTTACGTACGCATTCCGTAACAGCGCTAAGTGAACTAAGTTCGCCATTTCGTTTTATTGCTAACGCAACCATTGAACATGCTTTTGATAGTGCGCAATTTTCTGAAACGGCTTTATTTTCTTAACAAATGTTGCGAAGGCGCGCGCCAAAGGCGACCCTAAGCCGTCGCTGTAAAGTCCATTTCCGGAGAAGCGGCGCTTCGAAAGTGAAAAGTCGATCGGTGTTGGTGGTCGACGGGGCCCCGAGGCTTGTTCCCACGAGTATCGCGCACGTTGGAAAATTTATGGTCATGAACTGAGAAGTCTGTCATAAGAGATACGAATGGCGTACCTGAATCTGAAATAGCGTGAATAATTTTTTTCATAAAGTGATCCCCGCTTTATTATGGTCGACATCTGCGACTGTAAGACTTTCCCTTAGAAAAGTCGCGGTGCACTGATCGGCGCCGACGGTCTCGGCTGACGAAATCGCAGTTTCGCAATTTTTGTGGCCATTTTTACTCATTGCACTATACGCAAACGTTACGTAACAACGGCCGTATCAAATATATATACCTTATTAAAGTTGCATTTTAAATCGTAACGAGTTTCGTGATATTTTCGCAATAAATCCGAAGCGCGTGTTACGATATTTGCACTTGCATTTGGACATGACCCGACGTACTTTGCTGAAATGTTTTGTTTTTATTTGCGCATACTTTATGCGTCCGGAAAACGGTAAGTGCCCTCGATGTCTTTATATTTGCAAGTGTATTTTCTAAGGACATAATTATGCTTTGAATTAATTAATTATTATTTAAAGATAAGACATGAATTAAATATTACATATTCTTTGAAATAAACTTGTAATTGTAACGTTTGCTGAAGTTAATAATTAATGTTAAACTATCACTATAGTTTCAGTGAAATGAAAGAATGAACATTTTGGTCTAGACTGCATGCTGAATTTCCATTTTCTGGTCACCTTTGACAAAGCCATTCTTAATTCGCAAGTAACAATACTTTACTGTGAACATTACCGATATTACGTGATAATACAGTTCAGAGTAATTATATCAAATTTAAAACTTATTTGTACACAATTACCATGAGATCTTTAATATATTGGTCAACTTAAAATTTACGTCAATACTAAATTAAAGTATTTATTCGACGAAATAACAAGCTTTTGTACAAAACTTGATTAACTCGTGATGTATCTTTTTAATCGTATCCCACGGGAACCAGCGTCGAATGTAAAAAGTAAGAGATAACATGGTCAGATCCATAAGCCTCCTTCCAATGAAAGAGCTTTCTTTATTCATACGCAGTAGGAAGCTCGACGTCGTATAGAAATTCTAAACACTTAAATATTTACTTCGAAACGATCTTAAATAAATAGAAAGAAAAACATGGCCGTGAAATTTTTCTGTTCGTTTTTAATAGCTTGATTTTAGCGCTTAAAAGTATACTGCCATAAATCCGCGCGATGTAAGTCTAAAGACCCAGTAATCCATCATTTTATATAGATATTATTAAGCTACTGTTAACAATGCCTTCGCTTTGTTACTTATGTTGTGGCTCTCGTTTAATATTTTTAGATTTTTTCACCAAAGCAAACCCCAGCTATAGTTCTGGAGCAAATGCCAAATATTTACAACACAGTTACAATCCACCCGCAAAGTGGGCCTTAGACATACTCAGAGAAAAGTTCAGTTTTGCTGGAATCCAGAATTCAGAGCCAGGTTTCAATTTGACCGCAGAAGAAATAATCAAATTCAAGATTTGGCCTCAAGGAGTTATCCCGTATTACATCGACGAATTCTCGTTTGGTAATATAATATAACAATTGTTAATAATATACTTAAAATATCAAAGTATTTCACAATAAAATTAGTATGGAATAAAAGGAAAATGTACATTATTATAGTGTTTACTAAGACCAAAAAGCTTTATTTATATATCTTCTTATCCTTTAAACGAGCAATTCTTGTATATATATATATATATATATATATATATATATATATATAATTGGAATCTAGGAAACGGCTCCAGCGATTTTCATGAAATTTAGTATGTGCATAGATTCGGGGGCGAAATATCGATCTAGCTAGGTTTCATTTTTGGAAAATGTCCTTTTATCTCTGTTTTCAGGGAATGAAAAATATAATTCGAATATGACGGTAAATTTCGCCGCAAGAGAAAATGTCATAATAGCTCGGTCGGTAATCGGGCGGCCCCAAAACAGACGGCCGTGGTTCGCGTCACGATCAATTACACATTTTTTTTCCTTTTTTTTCGATTCCAGATCATTGCTTTCTTTATTTTTAATTTTTTGTCGATTTGTTATTTTCTTACTTTTTTCCCTTTTTTTTAAAGTTCTTTCTTTTGTGAAAAACATCAGTTCATATTTTCTTATTATTACGTCGGTAAGATCGAAAAATATTACGCATATTTCATTACGCAGTAATTTGTATCTAAATGTAATTTCCAAAGTACACGATTTACCAAAAAAAAAACAAACCGACCAAAGCTCGGTCCTCCGGGTACTTTTTATTATGTGAGAAGGTGGCAAACGAGCTGGCGGTTCACCTGATGTGTTGCAAATGTCAATGGGGCGTGATAACAGCCCCCATCGACATTTGCAACACCCGTAACATTGCGGGTGCGTTGCCTTATAACAAGGTTAGGTTGGTGAGGTACCAACTAGACGAAACCTAAACGTAGTATAGCACTTCCACTTCACGCCGGTCTTCTGTGATGTCGTGATACTACCCGGATGGTACTACCCGGATGGACCTGTCCATTCGTGCAACAGCGAAAACTGGTTCGTGATCCTACCACATTGAAAAAAAATGATAAAAAAATTATCATTTTCAACTGGGATTAAGCTTTTGAGTAGGGTGTATACAAATGGAGCAAGTGCCCTGCATACCACGTGTATCGAGTGGTAGCTGTGTCTTAATTTATTGCACCATTTTAATATATCGAAAATAACTTACGTATCTCCCCCCTCGCCACAGATAAAGTGCTCCGCGACAGAATACGCAATTACCTTGACCTCACAAACCGTGCAACTGGTCTGAGATTCATGGAGTTGCCGAGACCGCCCGCCGACGAGAAAACTAGATGGGTACTTTTTGTGAATCGTCAGGGTCTGCTCAATTGCGCCGACCACTCTATTATGGATTTCACTAACGAAGGCGTACAGGTATAGTGGAAAATTTACACTTCGTCGCACGAATAATTCTATCGAGCAATCAAAGTGACACGCGTCATTTTCATTCGTTGAAAACAATCTCCACGTGAAGGCGATTTAAGGCAGAAATAACTATGTTTAAAACTCGCCAGTATGCTAGACTATGGTGCCATGGGCTCCCGTAGTTCATATAATTATTTTCTATCTAGTTTTTGTTCATTTGAGCTACCTTGCAGTCGAAGACACTTTAGCAGTTTAAAATCCTTCATTCATTTTTAAATATTAAAATCTGTTATGTGTTTTATATTTCGTAATTTATTTTGTGTGCAGAAAGTAGTTTTGGGTTACGACTGTTTGGTGACTGGCGGAGAACTCGCTGAAGCCGTTTTAGCATTAGTTGGGGTGCCACCACAACATAACTCGCCAGATCGCGACAAGTACATAAAGATAATGATTAACAATGTGATGCCAGGTGCTAAATCCTCTAATTAACTCCATACTCATTTACGTAATGGTATCTAGGTACCTGTAACCAAAGATAAGGCTTCTCGCAATTTTTTGCTTTTGAGATATACCTCAAAATAAAACTTTAAAATAGGTATTAAGAGAAATCTGCTTCTGTATACACTTCAAAGTAAAATTAAAGTAATTATGAAGCTGTAATGTATTATTACATCGTATGTAACTGTTATGTATATATAAACTGTAAAAATATAAATTAAAAAAATATGATATGAATTTTAATTAAACTAAAGTAATCAATCTCCTTCATTCTTAAACCACATTAAGTTTAAAAATTCGTTCGTATCTTGAATTTTGTTTTACATTTAAAAATACCTAAACTTTTCAGAGAAAAGGCATCTGTTTGTCGCGTTAAGGAGAACGGATTGGTTGTTTTATGATGTACCTTATGATTTTCTGAGTGCCAGTCACTACAACTTTCACAAGTATACCAAAAATGGACAGGCTACAATTAAATATGCGGTATGCACATTTGATAATCATAATGATTTTAAAATAAAAAGTTTAAGGTTGCCTGGAAGAGATTGCTACCTTACCAATAAGGCCACCCGTATGAACACTATGTTTTCTTGTGTACAATAAAATATGTTCTATTCTATTCTAAAACTTTCAGTCTGCACTGTCATAGTAATCTGTTTTTGCTCGAATATAAAATATTGTATTAAAACTATTATACGTATTACAATACGATTACTTATTTCTCTACAATGTTCGAAAGCATTCTAGCATCCATATTTAAGCACTAACCGCGAACATAACGACGCTCAAAAACTTTTATTACTGCTTGAATATTTAACGCAATTTTTACCAGATAAAGGTACCATTTCTACACGGATAGCCTTACCACCGTAGAGGAATTATAATTTCAATCGTTTCAATCTTGTAATAGCCAAATACAAGTGTACTAATGGAAACCATTAATTTTAATTTAACCCAATACCTTCAAACCCTACCCCCGTAGAACCCATTACCTTCAACTTGTATCCTTGTAGAGGAATTCGAATATTGACCATTTCAATATTGCGCTAATCAAATAGTAGGCGGTGTACTATCGGAACCCATTGTGATAGGCTTAAGAAACGTCAATCATTCGTTCAATTCAGCATTCGCATAAAACAGGCTGAAGAGCCTCAATCGAGTCGAAAGGCTCCAAGAAACCATCTCGCCTTCATTAAATGATCTCTTTATCTACATATATTTCATATAGATGTAAAAGTATTAATTAAAGTAACAGGATAACATTATACTTGTATATATTAAATTGTGTTCATTATTTTACCTCGTTATGAAATACAACACATATAGCTAAATATGTCAAAGGATAGAGATTTGAAGTAATGTAATTCATTTACTTACAATTAATGTAACTAGAAATTTTATCCACCACATTAACCTACATTACCTTACACTTTCTGTCTCTATATAGTAGAATGTTTTAATTAAAATTAAAACTGCCTTATTACTGATTTCAGAGAAATCCTAACGTAAACATCAAAGAGGGTAAAGGATTTAGCTACAATGATATTTGGAAAATACGAATGCTTTACAATTATATTTCTAATAAAAAAAGATATTCAATTAAAGTTTCCGATTGCATGGAGCTTTTTGAGCCTGGTGTTAACTTCAGCAATTATCAACCATTTTTAGAAAATGCACTAGAACCACGAATCAAGCCTAATAAATACTTAGGCTTACCAGAAGTTAATATTTCGAAGTCGAATAAAACAAAAAAAAGTAAAACAAATGACAATATTCCTAAAGAAACAATAAAATCATCTAATTTTGATGAAAATGATAATAATGAAGAAGAAGAGGTGGTCGAAAAAGATTATGAAGGCGAAGACAATGAAAGTAAAATTACGAAAGGAAGTAAAGATTTAAGCAAAGACAATGTTAGTAAAGATTTTAGTAAGGAAATAAGTCAATTACAAAAATACAGAGGTAAAAAAAGCGACCAACCGGGAAATAATAAGAAAATAAAGGTCGTACAGCTGAAAAAATCAGTAATTAAAAGTATCGATCTACTTCAAGATATGTCCGATTATAATTCTTGGGAGACTTTAATGACATTGCAAAAGGGTATTTCAAAAAGTAAAAGGATAGTATAGAAATAAAAATTAAAAGATTATTTTTATTAATAATAACTAAATAATATAATCTATCACATTATAGGCACGTTTGTATGTCTCGTTTTATAAAACACGTTTCACACTTTACTTCGCAGCACCATTTGAACTGACAGTTGCAATTTTCAGATTCTTTTATTGTATTTTGCACGTATCCCCTTCTACAGCAAAGTTGATCACAGCTGTCGGTTCCAGCTGAGCTGATGTTACATTGGCGTCCCTCTGTACCAAGAGAACCTGTTTTCATATTAGGAGTACAAAAGTCGGGAGATTCTTCTGAGTAAATTATATCTTTCTTTCCAGGACTTTTGAGATTCGGACTCTCTGGCATAAAACCTTCTCCGTTGTTGTTGGATATAACCTGCAAATTTAATAATATAAACTTTTTGAACTATATATATTGTATTTTCCATCGACGCTACTGTTGAAAGCCTATTTCCCAAAAGACACTACACAGATTCCAATGGACCTTAGTCGTTGCCTGCTTTATAAAATGAATATTATGTTTAAAACAACGGCAGATCTCCATAACGAAAAACAATATGATGCCGTTTAGAAAAGGAATCACAAAAAAGTTCAATTGTTAGTTATAGCAATATATTTCTAAGCTAAATTTTACAAGTTATGCCATGGTATGAGGTTTGGTAGTATAAAATCGCAGATTTGTTGCCGCGTGATCACGCGCCTACGTGTGAACTACCACGGCAGCATAAAAACCGATACTAAGTTATCGCCATTATGAACAGAACAATGACAAGATGTAAATTAAAAAAGGGAACCAATTAAAATTGACAAGTTATATAGCAACAAAATAAGGAATGTACCTTCGAAGCGCCCTCAAATCGGTCTCGCAATCGATTGCCAACTTCTCTGAAAACTGGCATTCTCCACCAGCATGTGCGAAGAGTACATGAACCTGAGAGCCCATGACACTTGCATTCAACCCTCATATTGTTTTTGATTGTCTAAAATTACAAAAACGGATATAAATTATATAAATTTAAATTTAGTATTGCTCCCTGCTGCTCCCATTTCCTAAACACTTACTTAAGAAACACTAACATTTATCGATTTTTTAATATCAATAAAATCAATCAAATACAATCGTGTTTAATATTTTATCGATATTTCAGTAGGTACTACTCTACATAAAAAAATTTACTCTCTTAGCTTAATTACGGAAATTGTTACTAACCAACCTCCCAGCGTTGTGGTTATGAAGTTTGATCAAAGTCTTTATGTTATCGCTTCGTTTCCTGTAACGGCTGTCCATGAATTCCCTGGATTTCTGTAGGCCGAAGCGTATGTTATCACTGCAACCACCCCATTGCCATCGGTCCGTATCGACCGAAGAGGGCGGGAGAGAGACAGTTGAGATTCTACCGCGGCGTGGTTTAGCCACCTCCTGGAATATGCAGTAACATTACGATTCTAAAAAAAAAGAAAGTTTTTTAGAAGATTTTTAATAGTCGCTGCAACAATCTTTTTGTTCCCACAGCGGCGACAATCTTTTCATACTTTTTCTACATATTTTAAATGTTCAATCTTAAGTGCAGAGATTAGCACAATAAAAATTTAAATTTCTAAAAAAAAAAAAGCAATGGTGCCATCTCTCGTTCGAATTATCGTTGTAAAACGATATTCGAAATTGTTTGTATGCTGGAAAGGATATAACAATGGATGCGCCAAGCATTGCTTCAAATGCTAAAAAGCAATGTAGATAAAAGACGTTAAGATTTTAGTCGGTGTGGCAATCAGTTTAGTGGATAAGCTTAGTGGATAAGCTAAAGCGTCAGATCGCGAATGCCAAAGACGTGAGTTCGATTCACACAGTGGCAACAATCTTTTCGTACTTTTTCTACATATTCTAAAAGAGAAAGTTGCTGAAAATTAATAACAAAGAAGTATGTATATCCGATTGATTTACCATACCTTTTCGCAAGAACATTCTAGCAACGCTCCCGCCGTACAGGCTCGCGTTATGGCATACGTAACTCCAGCAGCGGTGATCGCATTAACGAAGCCCGTTTCTCTTGTATCTGACAAAGAAAGCAATTGTTAAACCTCACATGGAAGTAATGATTGTGTGTTAATATTAAGCTGAAAACATTTTTATATATAGTTTTGGACTGTGCATTCAATTGAACAGGCTTTGAATTAAGAGAGAAAGATTTTTAAATGAAGATTCAACGTAAGTTCTCCTAAAGAAATACGTTTCAAATTTTATAATTTATCTAAATAAATAATATTAATTAAAACATCCATGTGTACTGAGATAGAATGTATTTATTGGTGCATTTCAGTACATCAAGGGAATTTATTTACTGCATTAGCTTTATGCATTCTACACACGAACCCTATTTCAAATTCATTCGGTATGGTCACATTTTAGTGATAAAATCCTGTTGAATATGCCAATTTCATGACTGAATACTGATGAATTTAAAGTTGCGCAAAGGCTTCAAACGAGACACGTATTATTGGCACCACGGGCGATTCAGTTTTATAATGAGCAGAAATAACTCGATTTTATTATCGCGTTGCAAAGCGTTCGTTATGTCACATGCAATTCAACACGTAATAAACACTTCGGCCGCGTATTCATCGTGGTCATTGGTACGCCTCGGGGCATAGAAATAAAATGCAAAAGGCGACACATAAAGCACCTACACAATGATACAAAGTGAAGCGGTTGACCCAAAAATCAATATTCACACGGCTGTTGTAATAAACATCGATGAGCTTTACGAATCGAAGGTTTCATCCATAAAACATTCGAGCGTGAGACACAGTCCTCCGGTTCGTCGAACCTAGTTAATGAATATGTACAAGCAGACAAAATTAAAGGCCCGTGAGGACGAACATGTCACATACAAATATTATTCTCATATACAAATAAAACAAGCTGTAAGTAAATGGGCACGTCTGCATTTTTATTACGCTGTAGCAATAACCGATGAATCAACAAATAACAGTCTTCATAAAAACGGCTTCATTGGCTTTTACTCTCGATGAAATTCAAAAAGACACTCCGACGTTAATGTTGCGCCTTATAATACAATTGGTGCGTTAGTGAGATTACACTTTGAAAACAAAAAAGGAGGTCTTCAAGTATGGATCTACATTTACGTGGTTATGCTTAATAAGCTGTAATTCAGCCTTAATGTGGCCAGCTCTCCACGTCAATGAGTAAACGCTCACAGCACCTGGCTATAACAATTAATGGTGGGTCAACCGATGCTGGATGAATATTCAGACGGCATGAATAATGTGAAAATTGCTGCACCAGTCGTCTACTGAATATGCGCCGGACATCAACTGAATGGAGTCTGTTTTTGTTTAGGTCGATGACTTCATATTGATGGCTTTCAATTATATTGCCTGGGATTAGTTTCGTATAAACTTGATTTGGCTCTCTGATAGGCGTGCTTTCTTTGCTTTGATTTATAACCGTTTGATTGGCCTCACGGGGCATTTTAAGTTTGACGTTATTACGTCGATTACTTTGAGATTTTCTACTTTTCAATTTGAAATAGTCAAATGTTAATGAAATACTAGAATAATTGATTACAGTTAAATTATATACTTTATTGATTGTTATTTTTTCATATTATCGATTTTTTTTGGATAATTTTCACGATAATAATGTAACTTTCAACAAGTACTAGCACAATTTTTTTTTTTTCACTTCATTTTTCTACTCTTCGTCGTCACTGTTCCGTTAGCACTTTCAGTAACACCTGCCGCTTTTTGGCAATTCTTAAAATAGACTGTTAACAAATACTGTAAAAACTCATTGAAAACCCGTTCCAGTACAAAATGAACTCTTTGAGGATTTAAGGCAAAGCGAGGCCGAAATTAATTTATACAAAGAAATATTTACATTTTCTTTCAGAGATAAATAAAAAATGAGAATATAGGCTATAGATATGTTAAATTTATTTCGGCTGTACCTAGAAACAACCTCAGGTTTCATAAGTAAACCAGAAAAACAATTTTTGTGTTATTTTTCGTACACACTGACATCTTTTTTATTTTAATTTTATGATATATAAATTGGCGAGAGCACATCTTCGGATTTGTCTTTTGGTTTTATGTATATTTTATGGTACAACTATGTATGGGTCACACAAATAGTCAGCCCGTATGGGAATCAAACCCACGACCCTGACGCCGGAGCCAGTGTCAACGGTGCCACAGGTAGAATTGCGACAGAATGCAAAAGGCGTCGATAAAACGTAGCTCACTTGCCACTCGGACATTTAATGGTCGTTAATTGGTTAAACGGTTTGAGTTTGTATCAGCGTCATACGCCGTCATTGCCGCGATCAGACGACAATAATGTAACGAGCTGGACATTGCCCGTCGATTGCGTCTCGAAAGCGGCTGCTGTAATTGCGGACGCATGCCGATAATTGTCCTGATGGACGGAAGCACTCTAAGCATGGACCTCTCGTAATGCAGAGGGTATTAGGATAAATGCAGAGTACGGCACAAGGACGCTATGCAGGAGATCTACGCCTTAGTGATATTTCGTTATTGATTATAAATATCTATTAACTTTTTTTTAAACATTAGCTTAGCAGTAATTTGAAAAATATTAATATATTTTACATAAGTACGTAGCAAGCTATTTTCAAAACGGACGAAAGGGTTTTGTGTACTGCTCAAATTGAACAAATGTATTGTTCACATCCAATCTTTAAAGGCAACGTGAAAAAATCCAAAGAAGACGGTCTAATACTGAGTACTTTTCGAATTTTCTTGCCCTTGCCGAAAAGTTCTTGAAAATCACAAGCACGTTCTAGAGGTTGACTCGGTTGGGCGATAGCAGTGAGGCATTCATTAAGTGCAGATTAGATAGCCGCGACGCTTACGCAATGCGGTGCAGTTGACGGCAGATCGGATCGGCCGCGCCGATCGATCCCATGCTAATTGGGCCCGTATACCGCGCAGCGTCGCCGTATCGTCCCCGCATTCCGCCGGCCCGCCACCCGTCCCGGGAGATACAGGGAAATTTATTGCACAAACAATTTATATAATTGACGCGCGACAAAAAAGCGGCAGCGCACGCCCATCCGAGGCAGAATTCAGGCGGGCAATTACGTGCGCGTCACCGCTCGTCCGGCTCGCTGCTCGCGGGCATTCTTATCGGGCTGCGGCGATTAAGTTTCCCCGAGACGGCCGACGCCGGGGATGCGTCCTCCGTCGGGAATTATGAGCGGAATGTCAATTTCGAGATATTTCGCTAGTCGTTTAGCGGCAAAAAAGTGGTGGCGCGGAGGGATGGGGGGGCGAGGGGGCATGGGAACACGTCCGCCCCGAGCGGATGCCGGGCGCGCCGCGCTTTTTCAGCGGCGCGCTGCTCCGGCGACACGCGGCCGCATTAAGGGGGCCCGGCGATGGCGGTGCCCTCAGAGCGGGGCATTCCGCTCGCGTTATGCCCCCTAATCGTGGCGGGACGCGGCCGCGCATCGCAGATATGCCGTCGGGGGCGCGCATGACGTTCTCATCACCGCGGCCGGCGTTTTTTGGGCGGTCCCCGACCGGGCCGAACCCGATGCGAGGCACTTCCCACGGCGCGCGGCCGCTTGCGGCCAGGGCTCACGGCGGGCCCTTTTTGCCCGCGCCGCCACGAGCGGCCGCGGCGCGTCGACAATCGTGCCCGCTGAATAATTCAACGAAATTGCCGATCGATCAATAAAACCGATGGAATCAAATTGATTCACACTTGTAGGTTGTATGGCCTCCATAATGCGTCGTCGGTTTGCGTTTTTGCCCACGCCGAATGCTTCGGAGTCGTTCCACCGTTCGCACCCAATCAATCATGGGGGCGCGTGCGCAGTACTCGTGGAAATGCCGTCCGCGCTTTTCGCGGCTGGATAATTGAAGGAGTCTCCCCGTAAGCGCCCACTTGAAAAATAGTAGGTGTGATAAAACCAGTTCCTGACGGAAAAATGTCATTAAGAATCCACGGACGAAACAACTAGACTGGCGAGATGAACACTCGTTCGGCACATGAGAACGCTTCGTTCTTTTATGCATGCCATTTAACTTAGTAGTTTCATCTAACCTTTAAAGTTTTTACATAAACATAAAACGAATGCACATGATGTTCAATTGGATTTATATTTTTATTGTAACGATTAAATTTTCAACCGACCATTAATGCAGTGAAATTTATCTATTTATAAGTTTTAAAAAAACCTTTCATGGTTACAAAATAATCTATACACATTTTATCAATGACACGTGATAAATTTATTACGTTCGGTAGGAATTTTATTATCAGATTATTTGTTTATTTAAGCATTCCCTCGGATGGGCCGCGAAGTGTTGTGACATGGCAATTACGGGTGGGATCTCTTAAATGAATTCGAACGTATGATATTGGTATTTAGCGTGCCGCCTATTACGGCATTAATCAACCGCGAGGGCGACATAAATTACTTCGATACAAAGCCGAGTGCGATTGGTACGCGGCGTGTCAAAATGACGCGATAAGCCTGGCGCGACGTCAGCGCGGCCATCTACCGAGCAGACCATATGTGAAATTGTTGGGGATCTTGCGATTTTAACTCAACAGACGGCGCACAATTCCAGCCACGGTCGGCGGGGACAACGGAAAATTTAATAATGCCCACCGCGTTTACCCGCGTTTTATTTTTATTTTTGGCGGTAATCCGTCCGAAGTCGGCGACGTACATTTTTTTCGATCCGCATCGCTATTGATGTTTGCCCTATTTGCGATTCCGTTTTTATTTTTGCTACAATTGATCTTGGCCGCTTATTAATGAGGGTTTTTTGTGGGTACTCGGCGTCATCTTTCATTACGCCCTTTGTTTAATGTACTTATTCCGCACCTTTATTGTAAAAACTTGATTCGTACTATTTATTTTTCCCTGGCAACAGTTACAAGTAGAATGGTATATCACATTATTATAAAAGCAATTAAACGAAGTTATACCAGTAGACGTACTGTAAGGATTCTTCTGATTCATTGTTTAATTTTATGTTTAATCGTAAATTATCATCTTAAGATATGAAATTAATTGTAATAGAACTAGCCGTTTACACGTTTTTCATATACGCTTTGTTGATGTATTCTTGGTGATTCTGTAACCCAATGATACCGTTATAATTAATAATACATTTCTGTTTTTGATAACGTAATATTTGCAATGCTTGAGACGGATATAATATAAAATATGTATGAATGTTTTACTTTAGAAATGACGTTCTAATGATAAGTATTTAACTGCTTATTCTCGAGATGATGTATGTATGAAGATTAGGGTTCAATTCTGAAATTATAATTGACATTACATATTAGCTGCATTCACATAATTCAAATCATTGTTCAATACTGATGAACTTTCCGTGCTTTATTTGACATCGATTCGATTGATATCGATCATTCGTTAAAAATCATTAAACGCATTCAATATCTCATCCATCGCATTTAGACCGCGGCGGCTATCGGCGGACGTTCCCGCTAGGAACTGATAAGTGAAACCCGCTTTGGCGATACGGATCGCGGTCGCTTCGGTCTGAGACGACTTTAAAATAACCGTTCGCGCACTCCCGTTCAGGAATTTTAGATATGATACGGGCGACGTCAGAGACACTTGCCTGATCATCGCTGTTAACGCGGGCGTCAATTGTTGGCGACTGTACTTTGACCCGTCGAGCTCAGAGCTCTTGATGTTTTCTCCCATTTTCATTATTTGTTTATCGGTTGACGAATCTTTGTTAGATTTTTCAAGGTCCCCATTAAAAAGTGAAATAGGAAATCCGCAATGGACGTAAAAATTATATTAACTATCAACACTAAGCAATGAAAGCTATTTTTTTATAAAAAAGCCTCTCCAATTACGATATAGTACAGTCAAGGAGAAAAGCGTGATTAATCAAAATTTATGAAATTATGCAAACGTTCAAATTAATATTGCACTGTTAATATTTCATTTAATTCGGATCTGAAAATGAAATATAAGTGGAACTCACTCGGGCAATACGAATCCAGGCGAAAATCTGAATTCCTACACGTACCAGCTCCATCCTCATTTCTTATTGCACGAGTGAATCATGTTGCAATGCCTCCTTGCCAAGTATCGTGTGTCGCACGACGTCGTGTGTCATAAACACGTATGTCTGCTGCCCGCGACGCAACCCGCTCACTCGTAAAGATATCATAACGCGAAACTTGCTGCTATTCGGCCAAACGGGATGCCCATTAGAGGATTGCTCTTGCGACAGTTCACTGCGCATTGTTGCTTAATTTGTATCGGGTTACCAGGAACTGTTTGAGGATCTAAAGAAGTGTCCACTATATTTCATGGCTGCTTGCTTAGGAAGGTAACTTTTATTATTTTTTTCAAATACCCTACGGAGGACAGGTGTTTATTTTAATTTATGGTTACGAAGTTTAAAATAAATACTGCTACGCGAGCGTACCAATATTTCCGTTTCGGAAAAATCAGACACCAAATTGACGTTACATAAAAATAAGAACATTCGCCAGTCAAAGTCCGCAAGAACCTTACCACTAATAGGTAAGTACCACGACCTCACAGAAGATTGGCGTGAAGTAGAATTGTTACACTTCTGCGTTTCGTCTGGTGAGTGAGGTAGGCAGGGCCCCTTTATTAAAAGATAGCAGAATGTCCATGCACGGCGGTTATCACTTAACATCAGGTGAACTACCAGTTCATTTGCCACTTTCTCACAAAAAAACGTCAGCAGACAAATATGTAAATTTATTTGAGTAAAAACATCAAGTGTTTTAAAGTTAATCAATACTGGAAATCAACAGAACATCATTCACTACGAGTCGAATTTATTTGAACTATCTTGGCTAGCATCGTCAGCATTGCTATAAATTCTTTAGTGTAATAAAAAGTAAGTAAGCAAATAAAATGTTATCTGCTGATCAATAGCATCTAATGTACATAGTTCATGATCCAACACAATGAATCTATATTATCGTTATCACTACCACAATCATTATTTTCATTGTCATCGATTTTTATGATGCTTTATTTATGGTGTTTGTTACCATATATAACACGAATTTATCAAAAGGTATCGTAAAGAATTTAAGTGTGGGAAAGTAAATTTTGATAAGACATTACATAATTAAGATATTAGCTACGTTAAATGAGCAAGTAAGTGCCCTTGTTGACATTATTGTATATTAACTTAAAAATCAAGAAGTTGAGCAACTAGCCTACTTTCAGGCTTGATTTGAGAAATACAAAGATTGAATTTCAAAAACAAATAAAATATAAGTAATAATTATATTTATCATTAGAGGTAGAAAATCTTTACAGAAGGTAGATAGAGGAGTAGCGCAAAAAGACGAAGGATGACTTCTTTAAACTCGGATCAGTTTAATACGAGGACAATACATCGGGCTGTCAACGCGACCGCAACGGAATGTTTAAACGAATGCGAACGGTTTATCTCATCTGATTAATTCAAATATTTAGCGCAATAAATACAGTGTCGCCTGAATGACTATAAGACAAAATCAGAGATTGGCAACTTTCGGTCCATTAATTATTAGAAATTGAAAATATTGGCAGCGATGTTTCAGCCAATAGAAAAACGTCAGGAAGAACTGGTGACGATTCCAATTGTTTCTTTTCATATTAAGAAGAGATGATTGTAATCAATGGAACCAACTAACACGTGACCCGCTGACTCGATTATGCAAATCGTGTTGGGTACTCCTGGATGGCGCTGAGCGACTCGCATCGTTGTCGGCCATCGGTGTGACGGCGGACGGCGCATGCGAGCAATTGCGTCAGTGTCATCGTGTCAGCCCGGGGCCATTGTGGGCCCTTTGGCCGATATACGAGCGTCTCTCCACTGCCGCGCACCTGATTTATCGACGTCCCGTTCCAGCCCCGCGACGCGGGACGCGCTGTCGCCGCCCGAATAAAGCGCATTCTCACGCTACCGAACGCACGCGAACCCCCCTCCCCCGCCTTATTTAAATGGAGCGATCGTTTCTCATTCCGCTCCCCCCGGGATATCTTACGTCGGGTAATACGATACGACACTGTCCGGCTCCTTCTGTCGTTTTCGCGTTCGCTCGCCTTTTTTTCTGCCTCGGGGCCCGCTATTGTTCACTTGTCAATTTCTTTGGCTAATGCGAGTAAACGTCTCATTATGCGGTGCGGTGCGTCCGCGACGCGCATTGCGTGTTGTGACAGCAACCACCCACCGGAAGAGGCCGAGCGTCATTCAGCCGCGTACAAAACGCGAATACTTTATTCAGTGTTCGCTCGATAGCCAATTTGAATGGATTGTGCTCGCTTAATGAGAATAATTAGCTGTTTTTTTTCGACTGAGCCCTCGCCTTAGCCACAGCTAGTCGTCTCCGCTATAAGTCATGCGGCCAGCTTTTGTTTCGTGTTTGTCCGTTGTTCGCAAGCGACAATTTTTTTCATCTCAATTGAAGTAAAATGTGTATCGGAAACATTTGAGAAGGCAAATACCGGCTCTTTAATTGCACGGTCATTAAAAGTTTTCGGTATTAAATGCAGCTCCGCCGACGTCAACGTAGCTGGCAGTCTTCACCAAACGACTTCCCTTAATTTCTTTTATTACCCGTCGAAAAACCGAACCTGGTTGCGACGCGCTCGGTTCAATAACTCTTCGAGGCTTCTGCACAAAAAAAGTATTATATGGTTCTACCGGTGCTGTCCTATACAGTTGTGGCATTTCCCTTAATTTAACACTGGCGAAGGGGTGACGGTGATAAGTGCGGGCCGACGGCGTCTCGCGCGCGCCTGTCGCTCGTGACGGACAGACAGGCCGGTTGTCCTCAAGAAATGAAAAAAAAAAAACATGCACACACACACACACAGCGAGAACTCGGTAGAGAGCGAGAACAAATCACTCGTAGTAGTGCGTTGGAGCAAGACACGGAATCAAAAGGAGCAGTCTTTCGGATATTCTACCGAGATGGCCGCGAGATATCGCCTCCACCAACAATTTTGTGCTTGAGACGTCGATTACCGCTGGCCAGGCTGTGATGTTAGACTTTCAAATAACTTAAGGGAGCCATTGTTTATTCCAGTAAGCCAACGATCTGACATCCGCTACCGAGCACTTATAAATATGTAGCCGTTCTTTATTTGGCGATCTGCAAATTATTTGTCAGCATTCGACTGCATGGATGAAATGGAGAGCGGTTGGAATAAGCTTTCACATTGCATAATATGATGCTAATCTAATATATTCGTGGATTAATGACGGCCCTTGGTCAAGTTTGGGCATGGGTGACAACTTTTCTTTGTCACAGTGACGATGAATGTAGCACTGCATACATATTTATGTGCTAATATTAAATAAAGGAGGATTAAATAAACTCAGGCCAGTTACGATATATCAGTAGGTATATACCTCGTAGTTTTCTTGTTGGGAAAATTTTAGACCAGAATCAGTGATTCCAAAGCAAACAAGTTGACAATACTTCTTTCTTTGAGTTTTATTAGCTCCTTGGGCTTGTACCTTTTATTCTCTTCCTGTGTGTGACCAAAGCAAACCGTTTAAATACAGTTTATTTTAAATAAAAACTGCATTATTTATTCAGTTTGTATAGCTGTATAGTATCCACCTCTATGGGCTTTAGCAAATCCCGTGTTATCTCATAAAACTTAAAATTAAAGCTCATCCGTATCAAATTTCCAGGTCAGCTTGGTATAAGTAATTTACATATTAAAATACTTATTAAGATGTAGGTACCGAAAACTTAAGTATAATAAGTGGCTGAACCCAAACCAATAATCGATATCGACAAAATTACGACCATTATCCGCATCGAAAGGAGCGAGGCTGGATGGACATTGGCCATAAGAGTGAAAAGATTAGATATAACGAAATGCTCCCCGGAAATTACACTATAATTAAGAACATTTACGTGTTTGGGGCGCCAAATTTATCGCCGAGTTTTTTGTCGATATGAAGCCATTCTCGGGTATTTATGTGAGTATCCCGTGGTATGTGTGAGGTCCAAATGCTGCAGTAGTCGGGTTATCGTGTGGTAATCTTTATGGGCCCCCGGAGACCCCTCGCTGCGACCTGTCGACACTTAATGGCCCGCTGAGATTAGTATAAGGCCTTAGACCCCAATATTTTGGGAGCCCGTGTTTGTGGCTTTGTTTATAGCTTAATTAGGCTGTTTTGTATAAGTGGAAATTGGTACCGGCGTCGAGTCTAGCCCGATAAGGTGTCGAGGTATTTACGATTTGATATCGTAGTGCTGACTTTGATTACGAGGTTTTATGTAGTCGTTTTGTTAGAATCGAACTTAATGCTCCGCGTTCCTACTGATACAGGAACCACCGACGCTTTTCAAACAGCTCTATTATTATCGTCTTGGATCATTTAAGCTACATTCTACGTTCAACTTTACTTTACAAATATTCTTTACTTTCGTTATTTTACAACGGTGAAATTAAGTTGCACGCTGCGTTTGAAGTTGTTTTGCATCAGTGACTTCAGTAAAATAAATATTTGTATATTATACAAGACAACGCGAATCAACTTTTAAGGACTGTTACAAATTTACGTTCTATAGATAGATATTGCTGTTATTACTACTAGATATTGATACTAGTAATTTAATTTTTATTTTTAGAGCTAGCAACTTAGTAGCGAAATTCCCGAAATATTTTTCAACAATTTTTTTATTAGTTAGTTTTTATTCTTGGTTCGTCATCAGTCATCTTGATTATTCTCAAAGGTTAATTTGATATTACTTTACCCATGCATCAGAAACATCAATATTTCAATTAGTTCATCCTTTTCATAATTTAATACTATATGGTATATAGTATTAAATTATGAAATAAAATATATATAGCCGTGATAGCTCAGTGTCCGGGCGCTCGCCTTTAATTCAATATACTCGAGCAACCTGAGTTCGATCCCCGGTGCCGGCACCAATGAAGTTTTTAACTTTAAGTGCTGAATTATCACGTGCTCCGCGGTGAAGGAAAACATCGTGAGGAAACCTGCATATTTTCGAAATAATAACAAAAAAAAAATTTCGAAGATATGTGAAGTCCGCCAATTCGCAGTGGGGCCGCGTGGTGGACTATGCCCTGATACCCTCTGTATAGAGGAGGCCTTTGCCCAGCAGTGGGACATGTATAGGCTGTTACTTTTTTACTTTATGGTATAGTTTGTTTAATGGGATGTAGTTTTGCAAAAGACGACCGCGGGATATACAGACATAAGTACTATTTACAAAAGTATCGTAGTCATATCTTGTTTAATTTTTTCTTTAAGATTAATTATTTCAAGTACTCGGGTTCTTTAGGTCTTCGTTGATCAATTAGAGAACGCATTAAATGAAATATTACTTAAGGCCAGCAATCACTGGACAGTAAGTACGTGTATGATAAGGCTCTTTAAATAAGAATGAAATCCTTTTTTCATTGATAAAGATTTGACACCCAAAAACAACGAAGTCAAGAATGCCCCGGCTTACTAATGAAGGGGACCAATTAACGATGATTATTTTTTCTCATCACTTTTGAGTTACAGGGTGTTGCGAAAATGTCTAACATCAATGTAGAAACTTAATTCATAGCTATCTATTTATTTTTCTAATTACATAGGTTACATTGTTCTGAAAGAACATATTAAGAACAAATTATAAAATAAAAATAATCGACACAAAAGCAAAAACAATGAAAACAATCATGGATCATTATCATCAGCTAGAAAACGATTGCTGTTGAATACAGGCCTTTTATCCACCAGTTTCCTGCGCCTCTTACGATATCGTCGATCTACCTTTGTGCTACTCTACCGATACCTCTAACAGCTAGGCTTCAATGCTACGCCTTATAGTCTTAGTCTCGAGAAGTTTTATTTCACATCGGTCATAAGTTGTTCGAGGGACCTGCATTGCCACTTCAATTTGCAAACACTCCAATATCTACAAATTACGCGACACATTGTAAACCAAAATGAAACTTGAATTCAGACACCCTGTACCAGAATTTTTTTCTGTCATCAGAAGATAAAAAGTCAGGGACTAATTCGGTTTTGTAGTGCCTTACGCCCGCACCACCCATTGCTCTCAATTTATAGGCTTTTAACCTAATTTGTTACTGTCCACATAATCCATGATCCTCAGGTAATTTTGCCACTTTTTTAATATCTATCTAATGTGCTTATCACCTTTCTACTATCTAATGTGCTTCTTGACGTTTCTTATGCTTGTCGATTGAAGTTGCCCTGATCAATTTCCTCGACATTAGTTATATTTTGTTTCACTTTTGTAAAAAAAAAATCCAGCAAAATTGTATACACTCGTAACAGTAAAAAAGAAACAATAGGTAACATGTGTAAGTTGAACAATTATATAAAGATAAGCGCAGCAAGTACAATAAAACGTTATGACAATAATACAAATTGAAAAATCAAATAAATACAGCCGTATTTATGATAACAATACACGGTAAATATTTAAATTACCGAAAATGAGTTGTAAATTGTCAGAAGCTTAGGCTATTGATAAAAATTAAAACGTATTTGGCACTAAGGAAATTAATGATATTTGAAAAATATATAATAAGGGCAATTACTTCCCAGCACTATTCTTCCCAGTGGTACAAAGTGGCAAATGCTTACACACATACGTCACTTGATACAACTAGTGATTGACTAAGGTTATGATCACGCGTTGTTTTTACACTGTAAATTGACTTTACTATTATAACAAATAATTTTAAAAAGCCTTCGAACATTAATATAAAACTCGCTAGCTAAGGTAGAACGTCTGTTTCTGCTAAGATGGGTACCGACGCACATATGAATAACCACTTTTATTTCCCTCGTCAGGTATTTCGACGACTGAGGATGCAATATTTTGTAGTGTTTAAGTAGTGCATTTGAGATCTTCTAACGGCACCGGAACAGAAAGTGAACCATCAACTCTCACCATGTAGTCTTACAGGTATTTAGTTAAATTTCTTTATTAAAGGATTTGTGATTTTTTCAACAAGAGCTCTCTAAGAAAAAATTATCAATTTAAACGAACTTTATTAACAAGTTTATCTTAAAACAAACTGAAACCATGGTAAAATTAAAACCTGTTAATGTGCAGACAGGTACATAACAATATTAAGAAGAAAAAGATTAAATTTGTTGAAAAAGATAATACCTATTGAGCAATAAAACATAAAATTAATGTATGCTTACATTGACTGAATTGGCGGCGATAACCCAAAAATTAAAGTCGTAAAAGAAGTGCTGACATTTAACATTGTCGTATAAAATACTTGACAAATATTATAGATATTTTCGGCAAAAATATTTGCTCCCAAAAATGTGTATACCGAATTTTAAGATAACTAACCGAAAAAAGATTTTAAAAGTTTATAAATATTTTGTACTTGGTAGAAAACTTTTGACAAATACCACTTAATTTACACTAATGAATCTGAAATGAATGCACCTCGACAACGAATGGCCTCCGTTCCTAAGTCGTTTGTTTTAGTGTTGTACAAATCGATATCGATAAAAACCGTGGCAAATTCTTAAAAAACTTGATTTTCTTGTCACACACACATAAATAATTATATTGATATTTAGATAACAAATTGTCGGAGAAATATATGAAGTTTTAAATAAATAGCTGTCTAAAAATCTCATTCTATGAGATTTTTGTGTTCAGAACTATAATCACATAATGCAAATTACGTTCTCTACGTCACACTACAAACCTGACCAACATCGACTTTAAACTACATTAGCTAAAATGACGACAAATCCACCTTAACCGTGAGTTTCTAATTCTCTGGGACCGGAAGCGAGAACACCAACCAACTAAGAGATAGAAAAGCAATTGAAACCGCAATGAATTCAAGTATCTGAACTATCGATAACTGTAAAAGGACCTCTCTATAAATGGAACATTTAGATAAACGAGCGGTCGAATAAAAATCAACTCTTTTGGGCTAATCGAATTAGGCTCCGATATCCATCTGCGCGATTTAACACGTTTTGGATTCTTTTGTGCATGGTGTAATAAACCTGGCAGGTAGCGAGCCGCTGCCCCACAATTTACAATATCTTAAATGTTGATGAACTCATCGGGGCGATTTCGATAAATCTATTGATTGTAGAACTTTTGTGTTGAGTGGTCGTAAATAGAATTCTCAGATTTAATAAGTAATTCGTATGAATAAACTCGCGTGACTCGACGCTTTTATATGTGTTGTAATATTGTATAATTTGTTATGCGTATACAGTGAAAATTAAGGTTGGCTCAGCGGGTGGTACGGTCGTGCAAAGGCAATTCTAAAATTTGGCCCTGGCGTTTCCTTCTAAATGCGTGTTGACGACTTTTTTGAAGTTATTAAATTAAATCAGTTTTAAAACGACCAATTAATATCGTTTGATTTATGTGTAATCAATAATGCTGTTGAAATAACGCATAATTTTAATTCTAGTAACGACACAAATTATTTATTAAAGCATTACCTTTAGTTATATGTTGTATTGCAGCTTTTGTATAACGGAAAGGTTGTTTTAATGATTTGGATAAAGAATTACGATTTATAGTCTCGGATAAAGCATTACAATTTATAGACTCTTGAACGATTATGTACGTACAGCTTTTATAAAAAAAAAAACCGGTTTTATTAATCCATTTCTTGTTGTAAGTACTTTAAAACCGCGAACAGATAATTTATTTACTTAGCCAGTTCTATAAATCACTATTCCTCGCTGAATTGGGTGTTTGTAGAGCATTAATTCTTATCATGAAATCGACGTTTAAAAATTTATCTACAATTATATATTTACCTTAATTTTTAGACATTGTAGAATAGAAAAAAGCACAAAACTTTAAGTTAAATAAATACTAATTATCCTTAGTATTAAGTATTAATGCGAATGAAAACATTATAAATGTGTTTTAAAAAGTTTTTGTAAAACATCATGGCTCTCAAATGGATCGAATGAAAGCGTGCACGTATGTATATAAAACATTATGCGACTACTCTATCATCACTGCCACTTTTTGCATTGTTTGTCCCACAGCTGGGCACAGTAATTTTGTGTGCGGATTTATGACATTGCCTGCCGATTAATGATTTCTTAGATATATACAGGGAGGCTTTTTTAAGTGTATCCTTTTTTTTTATTAAATTCTAGACATAAATAATGTTATATAAAAATTATGAAAATTTAAAATCACTCGTAATTAATTAAATACATACATTTGAACTTATCTCAAAAAGTGCGTGATTTATGGGCAACTCATTTATTTTACGCGCGATCATTCATTACTAACACGCATACAAGTTCGTTTCAAAAGTATACAACGCATTTATGAATGACTATCGCATTGTCAACAAGTTCCGTTTTTTACAGAATAGAATGGCAATTTTTTTGAAAGAAAAAAAGTTTTGTTTTATTTCAATAAACGATATACTACCGAGTCTGAACATGCTATATGAATTTGGGCACCTTTAGAAAAGCCACCCTGTATAGGTTATTGTTAAATCATAACATCAACTTTGAGCAGTAACACGTAATGAGGGATACTCACACTACACCAAACCGCTCAAAAATGCTGTTACCAAGATCATAAGGATGGCTCATGCGATGCCCGGCAACTAGAAATAATAGTAAATTGTTTGGCCAACGACTAACCCCTCAATAATATCTTCCTCATGCTGCGCCGCTGCGTCGTGCAATTCCAGCGGCGGTTCCTGAACTGGTAGGCACACTCGGTCGCACCAAGGGTCACCCCCTTGGTGATCTCCTTCAGTAGGCCCGTTTCGTTCCTGCAGATCTGTGCCAAGCGGCCCCGTGACCGCCGGTTTTTCTTACATACCATCCTAGGGTCGAGAATCACTGCGCTGCCGGACGCCCTGCAATCAAGGGGACAAGTGATAATAATCATTTAAATATTAAATCACAAATCACCTGTCGCATCATCATACGGCATCACCAGTCTCACAGGATATCTTATGTGAACTGGTTGGCAAAATACAAATTTTTATTTTTCGATTAATTTTTACGCAGTACATCGAGATTTAGAAAAAAGTGGTACAGTTTTGTATGGTAATGTTATGACTTATATTACTTATGTCAATGTAGACATCATAGCTATTAGCAATACAAAAGGGTACTTTCTTGTGAAAAAGTTGAAATAATATCCTTTAACTAGTAGTATGTCCCGCTAGCGGGCAAGGTCTACATGTATGTGTTTAATTATATACGTTATTTTTGTTTGACTTTTTACTAAAATTTCTAATAGCTTCATCATTATGTCCTTCATCGTTACTTTCGTCCAAAATCATCTGATTTAAAATGCAATTGACAAATTCGTTGATTTGATATCAGAGGCCAAATAGATAAAAATGCCTCTACTATCATTTATGTAATTAAGGAAATAAATTAGCGCAATCAGTACTGCAGGTACCCTAATTAATAGAAACAGCGTAGTGAAAAGTGAGGACAAGTTTTCTTTATTTAATTAGACATGTTTTAAGCTTTTATAGTCATATCCATTACCGGTCGGCAAATTTCGACCGGTTTAATCAAAACTAAGGTCTTATTATGTATAATACATTTCTTATTGATACATCCACTAATGGCCAACATTACAGGTTAGGTCTGATGAATTTGGGAAATTAATTAAAGTATGAAAAAGAATAAAATCAGCACTCGCAAGAGCACATTTAGAAGATTTTAGTTGCCTCTTGCATAAACACGGGAGGTCGAGGATTAGATAACAACACGTGACGAGTATTTGTGCTACAGATAATTGTATATATGTAATTGTAGATATTCTAGATCTCGGTGTTCATTTCCAAAATAGGGCTGATGTAAGACAGGCAATAGGTCGTAAAAAGAACTAGGCAATTCCTTTAACAACATGGATTCACAGGTTGTGCCGGAGCCATCTAAGTGGAATGAGGACAGGAGAAAGAAAATTATAATCCTAGCGAAACTAGCGCACGTCGCCATAAAACGTGCGAAAGTTTTTCTATTTTCGTATATTGCAAGCCGAAGAATAGAACCCATTGCCTCAGATTCGAAGTACACTGAAGCACTGTAACTAACGCATTATACTAATTCCATTTAATCATTCGGTGAGTAGCCTGTTTCTAGCATACATTTTTATTGTGTTTTGGGTAAAAATATATCCTTATTTGTTTATTTATTTTATTTATGTCGAATCCATCACATTTAACCAACCAAGATTTTTTTTTAATTTTTACGGATAACTAAACCTGTTACAGGTTAATATTATAGTAAACGAAACCATCTACAGTATTTAGATGGATACGAATTAAAATAATTATATTTTGATGTAATACATATTAAAAATTATCATAGGACTAAAGACAAATGTAATCAATAAATGAAGTAGGAGACTGATCAAAATACTCATAAAAAATAATTGCTGGTACGGAATAATTTTTTTTATGCACCATTCGTCAATCCGAAACCCGAAATTGTCTAATTGCGGAGACGCTCGTTAAATTCGTCTCACTTACTACAACTAGTGTTGTACTCCAAACCGGTAAATATCGATTTACGATCCGCCACGGCGAGAGCCGAGAGACGAGCGCCAGGTCGCGTTGAGTGATCGATTGTTTATTCGATAAGAGTTCATTGTCAGAGCATCGAGTGCAAAGCTAGTTCGAACAAATTTAGACGTGTCTGAAGACTACCGGGAACTGGGTCTCGCGCGATACATTCGGATTACATGGCGTCAGTTTATAACGGACTGTTTACGAGTAGTAATCGGCTTGTTTGTTTGTACCGGAAGCATCCATTAATTTAACCGAATATAAAATAAAATATTTTCATTTCGTCTTGAGACTATTACAGTTTACTTTACAAGGCTAAGTTTTTAATCCCGTGTAAAAAAGTAAAGAACAATTGTATAATTGTAATTAATTTACCGTTTTTGAGAAAGGATTACCTTGGTTAGTTTGACATTCTTACTTTATTGTTATATTTTAAGTTTCATTTTCATTACTAAATGTACAGTTACTTTTTTAAATTAAATAAATTTATGAAACATTTATATATTTTGTATATGAATGAAACGAACAAATAATTTTTATTAATTATCTATTATTTATTTACCCAGATAGTCAAGTTTCCATAAGCATTATTGAAAACCAATTAATAGATAAACGATCAATGATAATCTTCGGCATTCCCATCTTGTCCTATGGTGATTAATAAAACTTGATTTAAGAAGAAGTCAACTAAATAAACTCTTCAAGAGAGATTAAAGACATGTATGGTCACAGTATCACCACTGACTGTGACGACACATTCATAGCACTGCACTCCTCAAGGTCACTGATGATATTAGCACCGGTAAGATGATAGGAATGGTACTCATAGTCTTTTTAACGGCGTTGTAATCATGCTATCACATCGTTTAATCCATTCAAACCAGTAATATTGTTTCTGATAAAGTTCTTCTATTTTTCATCTCCTTGGGCGCCACCAATCATTTAATGTCAGTGACTCTTCATCGTGTTGGCTCCTTATTACTCTCAAGGCGATAAATTCTCTACAAATCTATGTTGATAAATCTCTGATCTTCAACGTGAGTATCACCTTTATGCTATGGACTTAGAGCTTCATACCCAGGCAACTGTATTTCTAAGGTTAACTGGGAACTAGTTACTATAAAAAATTGGTCTGATAGTTAAACTATCATAGTTTTGGTTTAAAGTGTTAATCCACACATGCAATACTAAAAAATGGATTTTTTCAATCTTCCACAAATCATTTATATCAACTATTCCATCCATATCAGCCAAAGCGTGAAAACGTTCGATTTCGACCCTGAACTGGAAAAATTTCAGTCCTTTGAATGACACCTTAAATTTGTTTTTTGTAAAGTGTTAAAACACTGCCCTTACTTTAGGATAATATTATCCTGTGTTGTAAGGACGTTTTACAAACATAAATTTCACGCGTACAAACAAACACCCAGATGCGAAACAACTATCTGTGGGTCGCACAAATAGTTGTCCCGTGTGGGAATCGAACCCACGACCCCCGACGCCGAAGCCAATACTTTAGCAACTGCGCCACGGAGTCATCAATTCAATTTGGACTCTACTCTTTAGTCATTAATATTATGCGTTGTCTCTATCGGCTTAAAAACTGACTAAAACCAAGATAATGCTCGGCCAGGCCTTGATTTCCCCTTTAATCAACAATGGCGACGTGTGATGAATACAGATCATCTCAGTAAACTTGACTGACTTCAGCTTCAGACTTAAGAACCAACAATGACAACAGATGTTCTTTAGGAGCAAAAAGATGCCAATAAATACCGTATTTGTACTAGTGTGTGCATAAAGCGTATAAATTAAATGAATACACTCCAGTTAACGGGAAAAATCTGCTAAATTTATCTCTTTATAATTTTGGTGTAATTAAATTTTAGCTTAAAAGTTAAAATAGAAAAGAACTAAAATCTATTGCTCAAAACACAGAAGTCTGTTATAACTGTTGAAGTAATCGTATTTTATCTAGCTTTAAGCGGTTGATTGGATTTGTTTAAGTCTATTCTGACAGTTACACAGATACCTAGAATTCCTGGAGGAAAGTTTCAACTACCGGCTCGCTGGAAAGAGCATTCGACGTTAATTTCAGCGTCGAGATATACAGAAGAAACGCTTTCGTCAAGTGCGTATTTAATTCATGCAAACAACTATTGATTGGCCTTCGCGGTTTTACTACAACAGTAAAAGGCCGGTGTACAACAGTAAAAGTCAAGACGCTCTTAAATTACGACCACAACGCGCCAGCGTAGCACAAGCCGAACGCACGAAATGATTTTATTAACCCCATACACTGGGAATGTTTACTGCATGGCGATGCCGGCATTTATTTCGTAATGCATCTTCTGAGTTCGGGATAAACCTTTCGCTTAACCGTTCAACGTTAAAAGTCGGCAGGTGACTTCCTGGATGATTCAAGTCTCCTTTTAGTCCCAGTAAGTATTTTAATTAGAATATTTATCCGCTGAAAATTTTTCAGAATCATTCCAAGTTTTTTGTTCCATTTAATATTAATTTTATATCACATAAAATTAAATTGCTTACTTATACAATTTTAGACTTACGTAGGGGTTGGCTATTAGGTCTAATGGCAAACCTACAGTAATGGAGAGAACTAAGCGTGGCATGGAAGAGTCCAATCCTCTTATAGTTTAGGAAATAGTTAACATTTAACAGTAGACAATATGTTATTTGAAAAATGGGAGATTAAAACGCTTAAGCTTTTGGACTAAAGCCAATGCACTATGCCATATTTATATCATTTTAGTTCTTTTGTCGAAATTCAAGCAGTATTATTACTTTGTTAATACAAAAATCTTCATTGTGATAAAAATTTAATATTGCTTTATCCCAGGTAAATATTCCATATATCCCAGGTAAAATATTCCATATATTTTACTTTCATATATTTTATATATGAAATTACAATTATATTCCATATATTTTATTCACATATATGTATATCGTCGCTAGACTCAACTCGAACATACAAATTATGTCTGCGATGAAACGTCGTTAATTTCATACTAGTGTCAGTACTGTTTGTTCAATTAGAACAATATTCATGAAAATGTTTTATGCCACATTAGCTTAGATTTATATGGCATTTATTTTGATTTAATAGTGGTATCTTAGCAAGTATTTCTATAAGTAATATATGTCTGGTCATCTGTTCATATATTAATATGCAGATCAGTTGTTCTTTCAGGTAGTAGAAAAAGTGAAACATATTAATAAGAGCGATAGTGATTAAAGAGTAAACATAAAAGTCTTCACCTTTTAAACAGTTTTGAATTGAGTGCAAGTCTATATAAAATGACAAT